TGTTTAACTACCTTTGAGTTCTCTCACGTTCCTCCCGGGAGTTGTGTAATAAATAGCAGTGTTCTCGTAAACTCCCGCGGAACAAAGTGATATTCCGACGTTCATGAGCCGTAACCTGCTGAAGAGATTCATTAGCCAAGGAGCAGTACATGTTTTTAGGAATGTTTTTCCACTCGGCATGTGTTTATTTGTGTAAACTACAATACCTGGTAAGTCTCTGGAGGTACACCAGCATACACTCCGTCTACAGCTGTGAGCGCAGTGATAACCTAACACAGGACCTATGAAATAGAGTGCTACGAGCCATAATGATGGACAGATTGCAACACAGTTGTCCTCGTTTCTAAGCTGCGTTCGGCATCTCTAGTATTTGATCATCCTCTCGTCCTCATTATACGGGGTGATGATGAAGTCCCAGTTTATGTACTATTTCTGCTACTCCTATCTTTACTAGTAGATATACATTTGTATATCCTATTGTCGAAATTGTTCAAGTAAGAAACTAAAATGCCATTGTGTAAGTAGATTATCATATGATTTATACATTTCATGTCCATTCATTTGTCTTTTTGGCTACCCCACGCTTTATATATTTTTGTATGTTCTCCATGCAGGCCGGAATAAGTTCCAGAAAAATCTTGTCTTCCAAAAAACAAATTGTTCAAAATTCTTCACAAGTCAGCATTTAGCAGGTATAACAGAAAAAGTATACATGCCAAATCAGCTACACAATCGGAAGAAAAGCAGAACTCACAGCCGATATGAAAACAAAATGGCACCCGTAATTGCAGTTCCCGTCACCACATGTAAAACCCGTTATGGCGGCTCCATTCACCACATGTGATATCCGTTATTGTGGTTCCCGTCACCACTTGTGAAACCCGTTATGGTGGTTCCCGTCACCACATGTTAAACCCGTTATTGTGGTTCCCGTAACCACATGTTAAACCCGTTATGGTTGTTCCCCTCACCACATGTGTAACCCGATATGACGATTACCGTCACCCCATTGATACCCGTCATGGTGGTTCCCGTCACCACATGTTAAACACGTTATGGCGGTTCCCGTAACCACATGTGAAACCCGTTATCTTGGTTCCCGTAACCACATGTGAAACCCGTTATGGCGGTTCCTGTCACCACATATGTTACCCGTTATAGTGGTTCCCGTCCACCACATGTTATACCCGTTATGGTTGTTCCCCTCACCACATGTGTAACCCGTTATGACGATTACCGTCACCACATATAATACCCGTCGTGGTGGTTTCCGTCACCACATGTCACACCCGTTATGGTTATTTCCGTCAAATACAGCAAAGGCTGCTATGTTAGACATTGACAATCTAAGATAGTATAAATCGAAATCTCATATGAGAAATGAGGGGCTATGAGGCCCGTTACATCTTGTCGGCGTAGCGTGAATTACTTACTCAACTCATTAGGCTTCCATTGTAGTGTGCAGTCCTGGAGATTTTGTCAATCAATGTGTAGTATTATCTGTAACTCATCTTTCAAGATACAAGTCGGAAGACTCTGCTGGTGGATATCTTAGTCTCAAAGGTTTGATGTAGCGTTGATGGCCACAGTAATCTATTCTGAGTAGTGGCACGTTTCTATACACATATTAATCGTTGTCATTAATTTGAAATTAACCAGTAGTGGTTTTTTTTTGAATTCGTATCATTAAGGGGGTTTACGCAACTCCCCCTTTTGTTCCGACAGTGGCGGCCTCTACCATCACCGATGATTCCTAGAATGACGAAACAGCTGTGTGGTGCAGCGTTATTCAGTTTTGGTATGCTGTTTATTCCGTCTTTGCGTATTGCAGAGTGATCTTCTCTTGTGAGCAGGTATGGATTGTTACGTCATTGGTTTGTTTGAGAAAATTACGTCGGTTTCTCAAAAATTGATGACGTTACTCTCACAAACCAATGACGTAACAATCAATACCTGCTTACAGGAGAAGATAACTCTACAATACAAAAAGACGGAATATCACCTAATTTAGAAGGTGCAGCCCCATGAGTGTGTCTTAATTTCATCTTCCATCGGTTCGTGGACATTTTATTCAATAAAGTATGAGTATTTTGGTCTTCTCGAAAAGTAGAATTCAGTGAGTTCCCTAAATCACTCTGGACTTAGATTTCTATGATGCTATCCCAGGCAGAGAATGTAAAGGCACACACCATTAATATAAACGAACCTTCAGAAACTGATTTGACCTCAGGCCCACATATATTCTCTCTTATCTGACTGATGTAAATCAAGCAAAAGGAAATAGAACTACAAATCAATCCATCGGATACCAAACTGTATAAATTACTGATATGCTTAAGATGTCACAATGATATAGTGCTTTGTGGATAATCCTAAAATAGGAATGTATGTAGAAAGTACTGTATTGAGAAGAAAATTCATAATTTTTGCTATCCTTGTTTGTGTAGTTACGTATTTTATAGTATACTTTAAAGTATACCATATACCAGTTTTTTTTCGAAATTATCTATTTTCCCGCTTTATTCGTGGGAGGTGAAATCACACAAAAGCAAATTAAAAATAAATGAATAAAGAAAATAATGATAGTATGCGAACTTATGATCACTAAACGAAAATGTCACGTTATTAAGTGATAACATTAGCATGTAAAGAAAAAGGGAAACTTCAAACGAGAAACATTTAATTTTTCCAAATATTTGCTAAATTTGCAACACGTGTAAAAAGACTGATATACGGTATATATGAATAATGACAACATCGCTGGATTCGTAGTCTGGTGGGGTAAGGGAGGATTTTGGCACTGGGTCAAACTTTTTATCATAATGGGTTAATTAATGTTTTGTTTGATACAGTATATAAGACAGAATACAAACTAGCCAACGTTCTTACGCTAGCACCCATTATTCGTTCACGCGGCACTTATGGTTAATTCGCAATTATTTGGGCGTTATATGTTCACCGAAACAGCTGCTAGCCTCAGGTGTTCTTGAAACGGTACCGATTTGACCCAGCTCTTGAGATTCCGAGGGAAATATGAATGTTTTACCTAGGGTATGCGCTTGTTCCGAACTTGACCACAGATTAGACTAAGAAAAGAAATGTGTTAATAAGAAACATAATTGGAGGATGTTTATATAAGCTCTTGTTAGGTATTTGTAAATGTGTAGAAATGTTTGAATGTTTATGTCTGATTATAACTATTCTTTGTTGATTATTCTGCTAGGATATGACTATGTCTGATTTTGATGTTTGTTTCCGATATTTCACTGATATTTATCATGTAGCAAATTTAAATAACAAAGCAATCGATTGGAAATAAATAAATATGTTTTATGTTACATTATTATACATATAGTGGTTTCGTGATGTTTTATAGTGGTTTCCTGATGTTTTATAGTGGTTTCGTGATGTTTTGTGTGTTTTGCTTTACACAAAATCAGACGCCAGTAAAATAAAATCCACGTTGAGAATATATAATACTCTGTTTTGATGTTTTATGCTGTTTAATACGAAATTTTTACTCGGATATGATAATAATAAGTTCATGATACATTTATGCTACTTAAATAACATGAATTTAACTGACAGAACATAATACCTCAAACTGGCAATTGCTATGTACAGTAGTCTATTCACTTCAGAAAAAATTGTTTGGAAGAATTCTGTATGAAAGATATGAAATCAAGTAGACATTTACAAAAAGGATTCCTCAGCGAGATGCGATACTTCTGTAACATTCCGGGCGAGGAAAAGTATCTTCACTTTACGATGCTGACGCCAGAAAATCTATTCGTAGACTCCAAACGTAATGTAGCAAAATGCATCATTAGAAGCTCTTACAAGCAGGAGCAATTGCTTCCGGAAACTTTGTTGTCATGGTAACAACAAAAGTTCGTATAGGATAAGTCACAAGAAGTCCGAAGCGGTTTTTTGACTACACGGTCCATAATATGTTTGACCTTCACAGAAAAATGCTGTTTATATCTATAACAGCTGTTGTGGATTGGGATCAAATGAGAGCTGCTTGTTTCTGAAAAGTTTCCTCCAGAGAAGATACATCATGAAAAACGTATATATATACGCACATGCCTAAATAGATCCGCGTTCTCGTATATGTGATTTAGTACTGCAAAATACATAAATATCCAGAATATCTGAAAAGGGATTTTTATTTTAGCCCTGAAAAGTTTACATGCGCTATCAGTTTCTTGCTGTTAAGAGCTAACAGAAATACTGACAAAGCGTGACGAAAACATCTGAGAAATTCAGTATTTTATAAATACGGTATGTTAAACATGCGATTCAGTTAATATGCTATTTGAGACTTTTGCACATATGATGTATTGAACTATAATACACTATTTAGGATGCTTCAAATTGATCAGCAATAAAGGTGCTGTTATTTGATTTAATCGACCAAGTGATGAAACATTAATTACAGACATTTACTATAACAAACTTAAACGATAATAAACGAAATTTCATGATGTTTTTAACAATGAACTAAAGATTTTTTCATCATTGAAAGTTTGTTTATATCTATCACTCCGGTGACATAAAACAACACGTGTGTGATAAATCAATGTTGTCATGATAAACTCACTCCCAGAATGAAGGGCGGAAACTCTCCTGAAAGAACGTTTCTTATCCTCTCTCGTCGCTATCTTGAATTCCATCTGCCGTTCTTAATATAGCACGCACACCCACCTGAATATGTAAACAAAAGACACTTTCAATTTTGCTACGTGTTGAAAAATGCATTTTTACAAATATTTTTCAGTTACCATTTATTCAAACCTCCATCACCTTATTGTCAGTATGAATGTTCATTAGAATAACAATTGATGTACTTTGTTGAGCTGAATATATTGTATGGGAAGTCAAATGAGTCAAATGCTCACAAGCTGAAAACTTGTTTTCAAATCGCTCTTATCAATAAAAAATATTTTGCATTGTTCGAAGTAACATATATATGATGAATTTTTGTTCTTTTATTTCAGACACGACGTTTGACCATAAGTACTTTATTGGTGAGTATATGACTCCAATAGCATGATTCATTGATTCATCATATCATACTACGGAAAATAAACATTTCGACACTACATTGCTTTTTGTTCAAACACATTTTCATAACATGTATTAATCATTTAAACATGTTAGAATGACGACATAGTATACTTATATATTTTTTATATCAATACAGATATTTTGACTTAACTAACTTTTCATAGTGTCAGGTATTTTCTATTTAATTTCATTTGTAATATCATCTCAAAGGAGAAACAAATAGGAAGCATATTCGTATCTTAAAAGGAAAAGTTTTCCAGCCTGTCGATCATAACTCAAACATAGTTTATGAAGTAGCTACTAGTCCTAAATTTTGCCCCAAACCATTTCCCCCATTTTCATGTTCTTTGAAGAAGGTTATTCACATTTTGAAAACATTCCGTAACCCTCTAAAAAAGATGTCGATATAATATTTATGGAAGTTCAAGAGGTCGTTAATTTTGTATTGGTGTATCGTTTTTGCTTTTATTGTCTTTCAAATGGGAATTATACTTTTATTTTTTCCTTCTGTTTTAATTCTTCGGTATTGATACTAGTAATATTAATCCATTTACGGTTGCTATGATATGTAGCGTCACTAAATACGGTGCAATAGATCGCATCTCTAAATACTAATCAACCGGAAACAGCCATAATACCTTCGTCAATAAATTCTTCACAGTTTAGGATATTTTCTAGTATAGGAATGACAACAACAACAACAACAATAGATATCAGGAAAAAAATCACAACTTTATAAACCCCCACATACCATAAACTGAATAAAACAAATTTGTACTCCATGCGTTACATACCAGTCCTAACAGGCACCAATCTATCATCACTACTAGAGGGAGAAAGGGATCAGTCCATGTAGTTGTCAAAATAAACATCTGCTTGCCAATAACACAGTGAGAGACAAACAGAACATCTGCTATGGTATGCATTCAATTGACTCTCCCCGTGTTTATTTATAGACTCCAGGTTATTGCTATCAGAGACAGATTATTTTATACCAATTCAGTCGATGCACGCTTATCCGATCCTATACCTGGTGAATCTTGCTATAGTTATCCCATATCTAGTGAGTCTTTCTACAGTGACACAGTAAAGCCAGTTATATCACTTAACTGGTGATTTTTACTCTAGTGTTACAGCCATAATATGCCTTTACATACCTTGTAAATCATACTTATGAGATATAGGCTGTTTTTTCCACATATCTAGTGAATCTTACTATAGCTATCCCATAACTGGTGATTCTTACTATAGTTTTACAGCCATGCTATGCTTTAACGTACCTGATGAATCTTACTAAAGAGATAAAGGCTGTTTTTTTCACATACCTGATGAATCTTACTGCAGTATTACAGACAATTTTATTACGCGTTTGGTAAATCTAACGGTAGTGCTTAAGCCAGTTTTATAACATACCTAATGTATCTTACTTTATTGATACAGCCAGTTTTAGTGCATACCTTGTAATCTTACTGTAGCCATACAGACAATTTTCTGGTCATGTAATGCAATGTTCCTTTTCACGTATGTTCAATAGAATAATGTTGTACCGCCCTTCTTTTTGAGTGCAATTCATCTTTTGCTATTCATTGATTAAATCAATGTATTGCAACGGAAATAGGCTGCGAACATAATTATTACTGAACCACATTTTTGCTGTGATAACGTGCCATCATCTGTCCGTCTTCGACGTTGGTTATCTGAAGTCGCAGATAAAACTAGCTTATTGTGCAGGCGTACTCACGTGCACTTGTTAGTGTCTTCATGTAGATACGGAAAAAAATAATGCAATTTAGACGTCAAATAAAGATTTGTGAGGTGTAACCGGTATTGGATGGGAAATAATATAATTAGCCATTACATCGTGCTTAGTTTTTTAACATAAAGAAATAAAATCAGGGACTACATGTATCACGTTGTTATTTGTATCTGTTTCCCATTAATTCTGGCGCCATCTTGTTTCCAGCCATGCTGACAGGTATTATATACTTGTATATATTGTGCTATCAAAACAATGCCTCTGCAAAACCTTCTACCAGCACAAGCCAAACCACGCTGTTACCATCGACGTGTATGATATAAAGTATTGTTAGCATAATGAATATGTCATGATATTTTGCAATTTGTTCAAAGTTCTAGCTTTGCATTTTAAAATATATATACATGTATATTACATTATAATTTTGACGAATGCTTATATGTTATCAAACACGATAATTTGTCATTTATATTGTCAAATAATCGTGTTCGTAGCAAATGAAACAAATCAAGATTTGGAAACTTAAATTCCCTGTAAGTATTTACTCAAAACATCGTGAAATTATTATCAACGATCTGAAATGAATTCTACAGCATTTGGTCACTACATTACATACTAAGTCGCATGGCATCAAATTTGGCTAAAGTATAAAAAAGTTTATAAAGTATAATTAAACAATGATAGAATTCAAGTTAATAGTTATATATCGTTTTATACTTAGCTATTTTATTCAAAGCCTGGTAAGCTTACACGAAAAACTTATTTTTATATGACGAATATTATGAAAAAAAAGATACAAATGTGTACCGCAGGTATATGAAATACTGACATTACGACAATAATAATAAGATTTAGAACATGTTCACTCAAAGTTGTAAGTGAATTGATGCCGTAAACTGAATAATTAAGATGACAAAGCTTTATAAAACTGAAGCCAGGGCATAGTTGCCAAGACGAGTGATATTTACCATATACCATTACAACATTTTAACTGTACATTAAACACTGTCGGCCTCTTGATGTTTGAAAAAAAGGAATCAGCACACTCTTGTTCGCGTTTGAAAGGATCTTGAATAGGTTAAAACTTGTGCCAAGAAGACATGGTCCTGCCGTGTCTTATTGTGAGTTAGGAATGTTTTTACCTTGTCTGGTTTGTATATGTTGCTATTTTTTCGATCTTTTTTTGTTTTGATGTTTACGTTTCTATTAACCTATCAATGTCCCTTACAACATCATTTTTTTTCTCCTATATGTTAATTCACACGGGGGAAATTCATTCACATATGATATAATTATGATCTACTCTGGTAAATTTGCTCAACGTTGCTCAATCTCTCGAATCGAAATATAATCCTAAACAGTATATAAATGACTAAAAAGCTTTTGGTTGTGAATCATGCCATAATTAAATATGTACTTCTTATTTCAATATTGAAGATGTTATATTTTAAAGACATTCTTCAAACATTAAAATTGTATGTATTTCTTTTCCTGCGCAAATGACAATATAATGAAAATTCTGTTTTTCCTTTGTTTTCATCACTAATTTAGTTTCCGTAGAGTTCCAGCGAAGATTTTTCCCTGGAAAAGTAAAGGTGCTCTAATAATAGCAGTAGTTAAAAGAAAATATTAGACCATTGGTTGGATCAAAATCACGTGGAGGTCAGAGATTTGTGATATGGACTCGGTCTTGCTACTTTTAGAAATAGCAGGTCAATATTAATTTAATGACGTCATTTCAATTGTTACGTCAAGATGCTTTCTTCTCAATACAGTACATTTCTACATACATTCCTTTTTTAGGATTAAAACATTATTAAGCATCATGTGTAACAATCAAAGACTTTTTTTTATGAATATATAGTTATATCGATCTGAGAAAGTGATATTAACCTCGACAACATGGTAAATTATGTAGTTATATAAACAAAAGAAAGTTATATTGAACTTTGTCCGTGATAAATAGTTGGACCTGAGAAAGTGGTATTGGCCTCAACTTTGTCTCGTTCAATATTACTTTCTCAGGTCAATATAACCTCATATTCACTTAAACAAATAGCCATAATTGATGGATATTCAAACATTTCAGTTAGCATTTTGTTCCCTTAGGAATGTTTCCTAATTTAAACGTTTCTAGTTATTTTGATTAATATGTCAAAGATGACGTTTTGTGTGATTTAGATTTGTTCAAACAAATGAAAACCGATGACGCTTCTTGTTATTTTTGTTATAACAGCAACCTCCCTATGTCATGGTGGATGACGAAAACACTGGGTCTGGGAACGCGACCTACAAAGGGTTCATCAATGACTTAATGGAGTTGCTAGGGGACAGACTAAAGTTTAAATACGAGCTCGTGCCAGTAATAGACCAGATGTTCGGCACGCTGCTCCCGAATGGCACATGGACTGGAGCAGTGGGTCAGGTGGTGTCAGCGGTTAGTATGGAATATAGGGAACCCTTCAATGCCGCTATTACTAAAATGATGTTTTAAAGAAAAAATTGTTTTAAGTAACGTCGACTCGTATGGTTGTCTGATTTTATTCTTTGGGTTGATGTTATACAGTCGTTTTATCATTTATTGCATAACTGTCATGAATTGATTGAACATCATTATTTGTTTCATATTTATTTTTTTACATTTTATAAGAAATATTATTCACCATTTTAAACGAAGTAGTATTGTTGTTTATGCATATTAAACCGTTGACTGAGTCAAGTGATTGCATTTCTTGTACAGGAAATAGATTTGATCATGCAATTGACACCAGATGTAGGTTGCTTACTATTATTGATACAATTAGCATATATGCTTTGTGTTATGTTATTGAATATACACTAGGCATACATTAACATAATCATGTTTTGTTAATTTTTATCCCGAAGAATGCAAATATGGCCGCCGGACCCATTACTGTGACGTCAAACCGAGCAAAGTTTGTAGATTTTTCACAACCATTCCAATTTACCGGTCCCGTGATCGTCATGCGCAGACCGGATGAAAAAATGCCTCCATTTAAGGACCGTCTATTGCACATCCTGAAACCTTTCAGGAACGATGTGTGGCTTTTGTCCTGCCTTGCGTACCTCATAACCGGAAGTATCGTGTACATCATATCCTACTGTAACCCGTATGAATGGCGGCGGATGTCACGTGATGGTGAAGCCACCATTCGTGAAGGGGAATCCTTCACTTGTCTGAACTCGTTCTGGTTCACAATAAGTGCTGTTTTCCTACAAGGTATACTATGTCTTGAACAATTAATGACAGATTCGTGTTAAATTGTTACCTCTTGATATGACCCGTGAAGTAAAGAAAACACAGCTAGGCTCACGTTGAGGAAGACGAAATATCGGGATATTCTATTTATCTCGAAAATTTCCCACCAAAGTCAATAATTTCGCTACTAAGAAGGTAGTAATTGCGATCTTCTTTAGGTCAACCCGTAAAAGATTTATGTAGTGTTTTTATATTAGCAAACCATTTGTACGTATGCACAACGATAGTAATTGTACAAAATATATCTTATCATTCTTCATTCAAACATTCCTTAACTATTTTGTAAACATTTACAGAACAAGTTATATCATACACCAAATTCTATTATAAGTGAGAAATAATAGTTTTAAATGTATAGAATTTATGTTATATTTCAGGATTCACGCGTTCCCCACGTTCGACTGGCGCGAGGATCGTGGTGATAACTTGGTGGTTCTTTGTCATTGTATTCTTCGCCAGTTATGTAGGAAACCTGTCAAATCTTCTCCGCGTCGGACCACGTCCCAGTGCCATAGAAACCTATGCCAAAGTCAGGAGCTTCAACGACCTGGCACTTAACGAGGAAATCATAGTTCACGTGGTGAAAGGTGAAGCAACGCAGGCAAATATCATGAATTCCAAAATTACAGAACATCAAACTCTTGCAACTAAAATTTCTAAAAACAAAGAATCATTGGTTAACACTATAGGAGAAGGAATTCAATTGGTCATGGAATCTGCACCAGGTACACGCGCAGTGATTATAGAATCGGCCATGGCTAAGTACTACACAGAGCAGGCTGGTTGTCAACTCTACTTTGTCAATGACTTACTACTGACAACCCAGTATGGATTAGTACTTCCCCTTAATTCATCTGATATGAAGGCCGTGAACCAAGCCTTGCTGACGCTATCTGAGAATGGAGAACTTCGTAGGCTGGAGGCTAAGTGGTTCCGTGGTCACTGCAACAAATATATGTTAGAGAAGTCGGAGGACGAAAAATTTGAGATTCCACATTTTTATCCCCTTGATCTAGGGTCATTTAGTGGTGCTCTATTCATATTGGCTATTGGATTGGTTCTTGGTGGACTGGTCACTCTGTTGGAAATCGTCATATTCAAATACGCAGAATCGGCGGTAAGTTATGCTCAGAGATATTATTTTATATTATATCATTTTAACATAAAATGAAGAAATATCATTTAAAACTTAAAGGCCTATTGAAGGCAAAACATTCGGGGTTTCTGGTTTTGCTTACGCTTTTTTTTCACTTTCTTATTCCTTTTTTTTTTTACCTTTTTGCACATTGATTTAGTTATGTGTGTAGATGTAGTTTTCTTCAGACTGTGTTTTATAATTCTTTAGTTCATCATGTTTTGTCAAAGTTTCATATCATGAATAATTTGCTTGTGAACTTTGACATTTAAATGTATTCTAGGAGGACCCGGTTAAGACTAAGCCCCGACCACTACAGCAGCGAAGTGTGGACCGCTCGTCTGATCCTGGTGCCAACCAATCGTTGTTGCAGCCCCCGGGAGCCAGTAGTGATCAGCAAAGGGACATGACAGCTGTATGAGCAAGATCATTCACTCTAGGGTTTTAGCGAAATTTGTTGTGTCGCAAAAAGCCGCATGGCATATTCATATGTACAGAAAGGTAAGGGTACCATAGCAAACATTATAATTTCAAAGAAGAGTTACACTTCGTGACCTTTTGATTAGTATGTTGCCCATGTAGACAGAAGATAAAGAAAATTAACTAATTTTTCTCTGGCCAACAGTCATTTCTCTTGACAAAGAATTCATGTTTCATTTAAAAACTGTGCATTTAGAACATTTGGAATGCCGGGATAGCTACATTGGTGAAGTATACGATCGGGAATGGATAGGTTTTCATGTTCTATCCCTGTAATTGCTTTTTTGTTCCAAATACGCATTTTGCTGTTGCAAATACTCAGTTTTTGCAATCGAGTATCAAACAGAGAATTTGATTCAAAACGAACAAAAACAGACATATATCTTCTGTTCACATGTGCCTAACATTATTCGATTTACCTTCCTCGTGAAATACTGCGAAGATAAGCATATCTACATATCTGCTTATGTAGCAATGCATATTTGTGGTATCGTCATACACGTACAACAAGAAGACGAACCTGTCAATTTGAGTGTCATATCTCGTATATTCTTCTTTTCCAAACTTGTCCCAGGTTTTTCGTAGAGAATCTTAGGGAATAATTAAGAAATTTCGGTAAATTGTGGTATTTGATGAAACGATCATATATGTTAGTAGAATTACATTTGTGATCTAGCTCATGGGCAATACATGAGTGGTCATCCAAATACGGATAAGTACTGCAATCGACGCGGCGGGAAAAAATGTAGATACCTATCTTGAAGCAAAGAAAACGAAAACAACGAACTACGTAGATGGCTTTGTGTGATTTATAATTATTTGGTTCAAATTTAGACTGCAATTGTGCGTGTTATTATTATCATTACTGGATTGGAAGGGTAACTAACAATTGATAGAAAACGGTAATAAGAGGAATACAATGTGCAAAGAACCATGATGTTTCGTTTCAGCAAAAAATCAAAAAGTGAAGATTGGGAAAACAAGTCAAACTAGACATCAAATATGTATATAAGATTTTCTATTTTTGTAATGATGAGTGTGAAAATTGTGTGTGTACATTGTTTATAATGTTAAATATTGACAATACATTGCCATATTAGAATATTGAAAATCCATCAAGGGATGCGTAGAAAACAGAAAAATGGGACCTTGAAATCGTTGACCGTTAAAAGGAAATGAAATAAAATTAAGGACATTAAGTAATATATCCAGACTTTAATGTACAGAGTTATCCTATAATGCTATCATATAATGATCTGTATAAGACTCATCACATGAGGTATTCTGGCTTACACTGTGTATAAAACTTATGTATGGGTAAAATGGAGGTTATTTTTCTCTCCTTTTCCTTAATTTTGTTGTAAACCTATATCATAATCACAATTAGGATATTTTAAAAATAACTTCACAAATAACCAGTTTATAATGTGACAGTCTTACAAACCAGTCTTAAGGGGAAATAACTCGCATAGTCTCAGGATAACTCTTCATGTTAGAAAGCATAATTCTTACATTAGTTTTATGTGAGTTCTGTATTATTTCCTTATCCTGTTCATTATTTGGATACTGACGTATTACTGCCGAATGTTCTCTGGATTGGTTCTGACCTGTAATATAACCATTGCTAAAACTTACATGAAGAATATTTCCGAATATTCTGAAAATTTATTTCGAATCTTCTTATTTGAAAAATAGCAAAAATTTCTTTATTACAATAACTTATTATGAATGTACATATTGTGTTGATATAAATGTAAAAATGGCATTTAATTGTAAAGTTTCCAAAAAATTGGTTGAAGTATGATAACGTTATACTGTAAAAGAGGAAATATTCGCTTGCGGAAATGTTTGCGTTGTTACCATTTAAACTTATCGCGTTGTGGAAATGTTCGCGTTGACAATGATTCTAAAATCTATATATGCTTTAAATATATCCGTAATGCATGTAATCTGTTTTTTATTTTGAGTGTGTTTATTTTGGCGCTTATTTTACTAAACGCGCAAACATGCGAGCATTTCAAAAACGCCAAAATGTCCATGCAACAGTTGCAGATAATATTGTCTTAATTCAGTTAATTGCCTGAGTGTAAATATTGTAAAGAAGAGAGTATTTATTTAGGTATTTTTTAATCCAATTATTTGTATATATGATAATTGATTTTGATGAAAAGTATGATTGTAGATATATGTCTGTTTGATTTTCTTTCATTGTTTACATTGTTTTAACGTTTAGCATTCCCTTAACCCCTGAGTAGAACCATTATCCAATACCTCGCTGATTATGTTATTGTTGAAGGAATCACAGTACCATTTTAAAATAGAGTGTTTCTAAGGCTAGACACAGGATTTCATATAGTAACGAGTATTGCCGAATCTCTTTGGTTTGAGCCGGTAAAGTGTTGTGATTTTTAATAGAAGTCAATGATAATCTTTAAATCGAGAAGAAACTTATCTGATTTGAAAGCATCCCGACCAGGTTTAATAATCAATACTATAAAAATACATGGAATGATTTGGTAGCACGATTTCTTATATCTGACTTAAAATGTGTTTTTATGTTGCTACCGAGTATAAAATTATGTAAACAAAGGCTTGTCTCCTTTATCAACATGACTAGTTTGTCTACTGTTAGCTTGGTATTCAAATATATTTGTTATGCATATCATTTTAAAATATGTGTGTTAGTTTTACAGAATCTTTAGTCGTGAAATGTTTTGTTAATAAACTTGGATACGTCAATCAGTAAAGAGCAGAATCGAAGTAATTCATATGTTCAATATCACGACAAAATAGGTTTGTTCCTATTATTGAAGATTTTCAACGGATGATACATCGCCGAAACCTATTACAGAGCAAGGGTTTAGTTCTATAAGATTATCTTGTTTGACGTATCAGAGCTCAGTGTGTCAATGTGTTACTGGAAAGTTTTGCAGATTATGTCACTCTCTTTAAACTCGCGTGAAATGCGTTATATTCATTTAACTCAAATTCACAATCATTAAGTTACGATTATACATCAATTTATCAAACTTTTCCTGTCCTGCCAACATGTCTTATTAAAACTACAAGGCGATACAATGATAGGTTTCGTACCCAGGGGAAATTATGAGAACAGGTAATGAAAAGTTAAAAGAACGTATTTGTTCACATTCAGACTCTATGAAATGGAAGTAATTTCCTAGCACTTCAGTCAGAATGCATGCTACTAAACAGATTAAAAATACTGGGTCTTGTTAAATGGTTGAAAATAGGAAATCTATTCACTCAATGCCTCATCAAACACTGGAAGTATATTTTTCTGAGAGCATAAAATCCGTATGACATCAAGGGGTGATGGATTGTGACGTCACAATAAGACGGCCAATAATCAATAAACCTTCATTATAGCAGGAAGTCACTAGGGAAAACGATTACATGCGTGATGTCTCTCCTTATCTCCAATATATAAGGTTAGTTAGTGTTCATAGATTTATTAATGTGTTGGAACGCCGTTTACACTTTTTTCAGCTAATTTGAGTAGAAGTAAATAATGCAAAAATCCTCTATGATGTTGTGTTATTTTTATTATTCAGTCAAATTTAACATGTATACTTTATACAATAACAAAAGTATTAACATCAAATACTGAATACATATTTCATGTCAACAAAACTGATCGTTGTGTTAAACAAGAATTTTTGTATTCTTATTTGTATTCCAACGTCATCGTTCGTATTTTTTGCATAAAGAATAGAATGCAAAGAAAATGTAAAATGTCATATTTCCAAGTTTCCAATGGCCATAGTATTGCTCGAGATTCTCAAGCGACATAAGATTGCTTGATTTCTTCTATTGATATGGTATTGCGTTCACATTTGTAATTGACATCGTTTGTTGTGAAATCACTCATCGAAAATCGTTGTACGATACAATATAAGGCTTCGGATTCCCCATTGACAATGCATTGCTAGACACCCATAATTGACATAATGAAGTTTGAGATTTCTATTGACAATGCATGCATCATTGTTTTGCAATATATAATTGTATGTATCACTCAAACAACTATCTTTCTTATAGGTTTCCGAAACCAATCTAAGTGTCTAATAATGCTGTCGTCAAAAAAAGGACAGCCAGGAAGATAAAGAGAGTCAAGTCCGCAGAAAATTGGATATTCGTTCCGGAGCATGTTACATAACTCGGACTGAAACCGAAACAAAATTTGAAATCAATACTTTACTTGTTAGCTAAATAAGCGGGATATGTGTTTTCTATTAACCAGTTTTCTAATCAGATCTGGAGACAAAGTAACTGAAATTATACACAACATACATACATTAATCGATTACGGGATATTAATTATTATAGTGAATTAGTTACTAAATTTTATTCAACTTCTACAGAAAATTTGCAATTTGCGTTTTGAAAAAAATAGGTAATCGGTTATCTCGAAATAATCAGCAAGAATTGTAGTGTGAATCGTACTATCATCAGTGTTCTATTATTGTTGATAATTTAAATGAACTTAAAACCATGGCGTAATGTACCGAGATTTAAAATTAACAAGTTAAAAACACTTACCTGGGTGGGACTAGCTTGAGTAAAGAAGCCATCTGTTTGCCCTCGTTAAATGTCGATGTTATGATATACAATTCACCTGTAAATCGAATGTAATAAAACATGTATATCAAAGTGCCCTAGAGTTAAATCGGATAAGTTTCATTCATCTTATATATAGGTTAAGTTTCGTCGTGATCACTGTCACAGTATGTGGAGCTGTGGAGGATTTTAACGATATAGCGAAGTAATGTTTTAAATCCTATCTTGAAAGCATTACTTTGTAATGTGTTGCCATCTAGGATCCCATCCTCGATATCCAGGGTTTACGTTCACGTTTGCTCTCTACCACCCTGGTATATGTCATGGCAAAATTAAAGGCTCGATGTGGGCCACCTTGTTGAAGACTAGTTCGATCCTTTGATGTACATCAAAAGTATCTCGCGGTCACGTAACGGTAAAATTGTCAGGCTTTGAAGTCGGTAGTCTCTCCTTTGTAATCTTCAAAGGACAGGTATCAGCCTAGGGTTGGTCAGGTTTTTTTTTTTTACCCCAGACCAATCAAACAGCTATCTTCGTGCCTTCAATTTTCCCATGACATATTCCAGGGTAAGCGTAACCCCTTGATATCGAGGATGCTAGGATCCAGAGTCGTGTCTGTATATAAGCAAGTTCTCTCCCTTGCTGCAAGTTGTCAACAGGTATTCCCTATGTTCTTAGCCTGTTGATTTTTTTTATATTTCCACAAGTTTTTGAACAAATATATAAGGATGACTGATGCGTCTGTTTACCTTAGTTCAACTATCGTCGGCACATAAACATTAAGTGTAAGATTAAGAATGAACATTAAAAATATACATCTGTATTTCATAATAATCATATGTCTCTTAATCAAGACAAGGAAAAAAATGACAAAAAGCTACACTATCGGTAGCAAGGTCTAAAAAATAAGTGTTACAAAGTTAAAAACGGACAATTCACAGGTTTGTTCCAGTTTTTGGTTATGAATGATATGTTTTTCTCTAAATAAAGAAATACAGCAAATTGCCCTCTTCAGAGATCCCGAAATCACTATCACTGCTGGGATTTATGCTGACAGTGTCGTTGATCTTCACACCTTTTATGATCAAAGATATTACCCCGGGTTGTTATTTTCCTGTCTATATCAAACAGAGTGGATAGATTCTAGTTCTCTGTTTACATAACACAGAGGAAATAGATTCTAGTTCTCTGTTTACGTAACACAGAGGAAATAGATTCTAGTTCTCTGTTTACATAACACAGAGGAAATAGAGTGTAGTTCTCTGTTTATATGACAGGGGGGTAATAGATTCTTGTTATCTGCTGGATTAAGTAATTATACTAGATGTGGTGAAAAATTCTAATATATTAATCATTCACGAAGTTAAAGCGCTAAAAATATGCCACGTCGATTTTTTAAATTAGTTTTCATATACAGCAAATTATATATACCCTCATCTTGTTTCTACACCACGCCATTTAATTTTTCACATACTTATTGAGCACTGATGTACGCAAAAACACACACGTAAAACGATCTCCTTTTCCGAAGAATACAATACACTAATTATACAACTATCACCTAATTCTACATCTAGTAGCTTATGTTTCCACATAGAAATTTGACGTGTTTCGTTTCTCTGTGACTATCTTACCGTTGTCGTCTTGGCCGAAAGAATGCAGATATTGGCCGTACTTTGCTCTTGCATCACACGGGCAAGAGCTAATAGGGCACAACTGGACTGTTTGAGATTGCCATTTGTCATTGTGTCTCACCAAACGCAGAAGACCTCTAAAAATACACAATATTGATTATCACCAAGATATAATCTACAAAAGTACACCATCAAACATCGACAATTTAGCTTTTACGGTATATGTACATTCGTAATACAAACATGTTTGCTGGAAATTTGACTCTACCTCTTTCACAAAGCCACCAACTCGTTTCCAGTCGTATATTACATTTAAAAAAGTTATTGTAATCATTAAGCACTTATAAACTGTCATATTTGCACGGGTGGCACCCCTAATATTATCCAATACAGCAAAGCAATTCACAAATGATCCTTTAAAGAATATGTCTAGCCTGTACATACCCTGAAAAGTCCCCAAATATGTAGTCCCCTAACCAGTGTAATCTGAACGCCTTCCCTCTATATACGTAGCCTCCAATCACAGCACTGTATTGGTTGGAGTTATTATACGTAAATATCGGTTTCTCTTCATCAGCTGTGACAAAATGCAAGTCAGTAAATAAACATTAAAATGGCATATAGACAAATTAAGTACATCAATATAAAAGCTGGCCCATGAATACTTAGCACTTGTTTAACAGTAAAACTGGCGGTTTCATGCAAGAATCGCACAATAATCGACTGAATACAGCACTACAAAGCGATCCCGATACCTGCTTGTGATAAAAGATGTTCGTCGACAACAAAAACTAATTATTAATGTTTTTTTCTAAATGGCAAATGAAACCATTTCAAAACCCATTGATCATTATGTCATCTGTGCTATTAATAACTTAAAATTAATAGAGAAAAAAAGGCATCTCAGTATCATCTAAGTACTAACGCTAAATGTTTCTGATTGGCGATTGCTGCAGGTAGCCTGGCTGCCGAAATACGTCTGAAAGGCTTTGATAATGTTTACGATCTTCTGTGAAATCACGTTTTGGCACATCCTAGTGCAATGGAATTTCCTATGTAAACTGGCAAAAACCTTGGCAAAGACAATGAAGACAGAATTAATGGTAGTTTCTGACCAAATCTTTTCTTCAAACACTCTTTTCATCTTTCTGTCATGAAGACAGCCTGATACCGTCTCATTATAAATATGGCGACATGTTCTTCTATGAAATTGTGCTGAAGATTCTATCTGTATGTTACAAGATAGTGATGTCTGGCCATTTTTTAACAGTTCCTCTGTTACCCTTCTTTGGCATATTGATAATGTCACGTTTTTCTGGTGTCTGTTCCTACTCCCATGTCCGATAAAAGATTTTTCAAAGAATTATGGGGAAATCTTATTACTTGACTTTCCGCACCTCTGGGCAGATGCTAGTATTTCCCAGCACCTTACCACTCCTGTGAGTTCAGATCCTCACAGAAATCAGCTTCAGAACGAGCTTTAATACTGACCTCCAGTTCATCTACCGCTTCTGGAATGTGAATGATTAAAAAGAAGTTTTCGACTGAGATAGTTCTATTACCAAATTACCAACTTTACTTTCGTTACCTTACATCGCACTAATGATATTCATGGCGTCATCCATTGTGATACCAATGCTCAACCACTCGTGCACTGAAATGTCACATAGCTACTAATTTATCACACATTGGGATGTTATCCGTGACTGACTGAACCTCTTGTATAATGTGTTCGTCTTTTTCATCTATATCATCATTTGGTGCCTAGCAGGTGAAAACGGGCAGCTTACTGAACCTGGAGCTGGACCTAGAGTTGAGAACCCTTTCCACCCAAACGGAAGGTCTGATCCTTCTGAATCCAATAGTGACCAGGGTGAATCCTCTGTTAGCTGTATCCTCTCCCGGGCTGTATTATGGTGTCCTTTGCACATAATCCCTGTATCAATTACCAAATTCTAAAGGACCTGTGTGAGTCTTATTAAATTCATCCATCAGGTATGCTGATCTTGAAAGTGTGCGTTTGCGTTTCCTGGAAAACATGTCAGGGATAGACAGCAGAGGCGGGGGGACTCCAACATGGGTTCAAAAAGCCTACAAAGGTATATGGCTTTTTGAAGAAAAAATAACCGACCATAATATCAGAGTGAAAGTGTAAGCTTATCATGCTTGAGAGAAATGACATAAATACCTAGTTGTTCACACTGGCCTGGCGCTAAACAGATATCCCCTTCTTTGATGTTCCATCCGTAGTTTCTTCCTTTACGTATGACGTCTACCTCGTTCTGGTGATGGTTTCCGTTGTCACCACAGAACAGCTCGTTGCTGTCTAAAGAAAAGTATCGCCGAATAATCATAAGATGGCCGATGTGTCAACAAGGAGGAACGCTAAATAAAACCAGTAATGCAATTCGGAAATAAATATTATTTTTCTAAATATTTAATCCTGGAGTAACACAAGTAAATACAAAGCATTTGTATAGGAAATGTATTTTGAACAACAAACCAGGTATGCATCTCATTCCTTACGTCCAAACTGCTTGTTCGCAGTCTTATTAGTTGATCTTAATTTTTCAAATATTATTGTTATGTTCAAATACTTAAGTTACAACGAGAACTGCATGCAAATTGATAGTTCAAAGAAGAGAACCACAGCAATGACTTAAAAAATCAGTAAATTAATTGTAAACCTGACTAAACTTTCATTGTATATAGACATATTTGACATCTGATACACTGTCTTTTTACCTGGCAAATGTAATGGAATAGAGGGTAAATATTTGGTGTTGAAACTGTAACGATGAGTGGCAAACACCTAAATTGCATCACGTGTCGTAACTGTTCTATCATTCGCTAGATTTTGTTTCAACTTGATATGTGTCAATTGGGCAAAGTCTGGCTAAGAGAAAGTACTAAATGTTGCACAGTTATATAATTTAGACTAGGCAAACACTAAAATGTTCATATCGATGTTACGATGGCCGATATGAGCCGGCAGTAACGTATCATGACTTTATATAAATCCGCTCGGCATTTTCAATGTTGTAGGAGCATTGACATCGACATGTATGATTGGAGTTTTGGCAACCAAAAGTACACACCCCTAGCAAGACTTGTGCAAAAAAAGTAATGCCTTAAAATAAAGGATGTCTGTTGTTGATTCTTAAGTGGCAATATTATATATTTATTTATGTTATATTTATCAATCGAAATCGATTAAAGTTTAAACAAAAAACACTTACATTTATCAAAACTGCATCTGAATGTGTTCCGGAATCCGTAAGCAAAGATCTCTGGTTGACCTTTGTTACCATTGACAAACGGATTGTCGCTTGGAACTGTGTAGTTCAGAGTGTTCACATTTATCCGCAGAATCTTACCAAGCAGGTTGTGTCTGTAAAAACATGGAATGGTATCGTTTATTTTACATAGTACAATATTTCAATTTCAACGCAAACAGATGGATCGAATTTTAGTTATCACAAAAAAAATCGTGCCCTAATTCACGTATGTCGCTAAGCATGCACTAGCCCGTGTTTCCTCTGGCCCTGACACCAGACTTGGACATTTTGACAGATAGATGTCTGGTTCTCGGGCTAAGCATACACATGTAAATGCAAAACATTTCACGAAAACTCAGGAAGAACCAAAGTGTCATGGCAAATGAGAATACAGACAGAGGCGCGTGTTATAGATACAATTGCTTACTTATCTTGGGCCTGTGTGGCAAGCTGCTCGTTCCCCGAGTTCCCTTGGGTCCCTCCGTCACCAACGCCTACGTACAGGTACCCGTCAGGACCAAACAGAAGCTGGAAATATAAACATTAACTAAAAATCATACAATTCACAACCACAACTTTTCCTTCTACTCCTTCTACTACAGCCTTCCATCGGTCATTGAAAATATAAATATAAATACCTGGTTTTCGTCAATATTTGACATACTCAATTTAATAGATGATAACTGCTCTATTTGGACAGTCACAAGAGTATTGTAACATCCATATTACCAGACCTTTGGGTGTCTATCAAAAAGGAAGTTACTAGTAGTCCTTGGTAGAAGTAATTATTTCGGAACGAATGGCTTTTTTTCGTAAGCAGTTACTTTTCTAATGTTTTTTGTTTGTTTTTGTTTTTGTTTTGCAATGTACTCTTGCTGTAATAACAATGTATTATGGCGATCGAGGCAGTCTCTTTGCACTTTTAAGTACCACTCGAAAAAGTTCTGTTAAAACGAGTGTACGTTGCACATTGGTGAACCGAGGACGCTCTATCTCAAAACATACGTATTTTTGGCCTCGCTAGGATAGACAATAACCTATACAAAAGCAAACATTAATTTTGCTCAAAGTTCTGTAATAACATGCTAATTTTGTTGTTTTGTGATGTTTCACAGAATATCAGTATACCCGTTAAATTAATCAATGACTCTTACATTGTTTCATTGGAAAATAGGTTAATTAAAAGCATCCCAAACAACCAAATGTCACATTGAGTTATGCATTGTGTAATTCATGGTTCAGTAAATATTGTGGCTTCATTAAGTAGAGAACTATCGATGAGAAAGTAAATAGCATGCCAGCACTTGAGCCAAAGACCTATCAACTCACCGCTCCACCGTTCCTGTATGGAGATGTCTGTTGAATAGTCAACAATATTTTCTCTTTCTTTGTGTCAACATATCCGTTCTTTTCCTGCAGCTCGGACACAATGACGTAATCGTGTCCATCTTGTAGAGTACGAACGGAGAATGTGTATAGTTTCCTATTATCACTGAATTGTGGATGTAGTGCTAGATTTAGAAGTCCCCTTTCGTCCTGTGTGTTTGGATCAAACGAAACCTTGTCCCTCATGTCCAGGAATAAAACCTCGTACTTCCGCCACGACAGGGAGTAAGAATGCACCTTCCCGCTCTGCTCTGCGACAAGGTATCGCTCATTGTCTTGTATAAATGCCACAGGACTGTGGAAATCTCCGGATTGCACAGGTTCCGACAAACATACGCAGGTTGTGGTATAAGACACTGTAGAGGCTGGTGGTATCGTTAACGCCACAACAACAATCCCCCATATCCAACGGACGAGTGTCGCCATCATGGCATATGGTTCTGAATCCAGAATGTGTCCCCTAGCCTACACTATGTGCGTGCACGTGGGACTGTATGACAATGCGTAAGCGTTGCCGTAAAGGTGTACTATCGCCACTAGAGTTGGTATATTCAGAAATCGATAAACCTAACAGGCTGGTATCCTTTTGGTTTCATCACGATCCGTACCAAAAGCGCTCAGATTATCTTCCAACTAAGAAGTGAACAACCATACACATCTCACGATACTTTCCTTTTAAATACGGTGAATGAAATGGTTTGTTTTTGGTGTATTAATAACTCGCCCACGTGTCTGTTAGATATAGTCCGTACGTGTCTATCTTCCAATCAAGATGACCACAACTCGCTATATAAACCCCGTGCTGGTGATTTCACAGGGTACTTATTTGAAACTGACATGCGCAGAAACACATCCATACTATAGCTCTATATATAACTCAATATTTTTTGAAAATAATTACCAATATTTAATATACAAAATTTGTGGTTAAAAAATTGATTACTGTTCTTAAAAAAAATATAATCCTTTGAATATTTTGCGGCCGGATACAATTTATTGTCTATTCAATATAATAATATACCCATTATTCAACAATAAATATATGCAAAAAAAATGCATAATTTGAATCTGTATAGCTAACTATCCAATGTGGTAGTCCCAAACTTTGATGACCGTTGTCATAAGATAAGATAACGCTGAACAGAGCAGGTAAAATGGACATATGGTAAAATTGTGACATGTCAATAAGCTCCAACATTTAATCCAGTCGGGGTGGCTGGTCGATACGTCACTGTAAGTGTCTAGTTCACTTCAATTCATCCGGAAGGGGGTTAGTTCAACATCATTTTAACAAATCGAAAGTTTGCTAATAGGATCAATATTACAGTTCCTCTGTACGCTCACGTCTCTTTGTCAGTAGTCAAGTGAAAACAAGTTAATATGATAGTCTTGGTAATATTTAAGTGTCTATAATCAAAATCTGATTCGACCGTGTAAATATTGGTCTGGTACTTCTTGTATAAACATTGCCGTGTCAATGTATTCAATGCAAATTCTTGCGAATACAAAGTGATTGTGCCGCTGATTGGTACGGGAGTCCGTCAGCCTGAGGATCAGGTAGCTCATGTCTGATGTTTCATAAAAGAGACACTATAAGATAACGCTAGCGTTCACTAAAGTAGACACTAAGAATCGATACGAGGATGGGGAGAGTCTATCCGATAAATATGATTCAACTTTGTCGATTACATGTCAAAAATCTGGCTATTAACTAGAAGAACAATATCTCAAAAGCAATCTTCTTGATTACACATAATTCTAGCTATGACATGTAAAACCTTGATATATCAATGCTTTTAAAACGATTGCTAAACAGAACGTTATACTAGTTGTATTCGTTGTGGGCCTATTAAAGTGATTTTTAAAAAGTGAGGGTCTTGAGTAAAATGTGTGTTAACTAAACGCGTAAACCTTTATTAAACCATTAGTGTTTCATTTTTAACATCGTTGTGGTCTTTGGAAATAAAAAAATAAAAAAATAAATAAAAAGTAACCCATTACTATTTCATATACAGTATCAACTATATAATCTTCGTTATGCGAGTTAATTAAGGACAAATGCATCCAATCATTTATCATTCATTTATTCTCTTCAGATTACTTAAAATAACCGAAGACAAACACAGATAATCGTGATTAATGTCCCTGCAAAGACATGCTCCTTCCACGTCTATCCAATGATTTGTATATATTTTTTAATATAATATTTCCTTTATAACAGATCTTACAATCACTTACACAAAATACACGTGCACGTAATAGTAACTAATCCTGGACATTCTTTTGCAATTGATTTATAACATGTATCTAATGTAAGGTAAATTGAGAATGTAAATTATTCATTTGAACACTTGCTGTGCACCAGTCTCCTCAGACACGGAATAGAACTTATTTACAATATGTTTCTGGTGTTTGGTTTGTACAAATCAGAGAACAGTAACGACTTGTGTTAGAGACTGGTGATCACTACGTGTACTTGCTTGTACCAAAAACAACTTTGGGGTCGTTTAAAATTTGTCTAACAAAGGTAATGAATCGGGCTTAAACATTACGTGTACTAGCAGCCAAATCATATTTTACAACGGGAACAATCAGATGAAAGATTTTGACCATCTGTGGTTAAATGTAACCAGCAGTAAATAAAATTCTTGGAAAATATCGCTGTCATGCATGTTCTAAGATGGATTTTTTTCTCTCAATATAAACGATAGATTTTAGAGTTACAGAACTGTTAACAACTAGAAAATTGACCAGCTTCCTTTAGAATAGCATATAAGCACTTAACATCTGTGGCATGGTAATTTATAGTTTATTATCTTTGTCATTCAATTGAAAACCACCCTTCTATCCTCTTTATACAACGATTTTCGTAGGCAAAAAAAGGCCTTTGAATGACCTTTAAAATTCATGTTCAGGAAAGATTAATGTTTTATGTTGCATCCTTTAATGAGCAAAAACGTCCCCCCCCCCCCTCCTTTTAACTAAGTATAAAAGTTGAAATTCTCCTGTGTGGAAATGCTATTTGAAATTAACCCTTAGGACATTTTCATGTTGTAAATGGTTCTGAAATCTTCATATATATAAATAAATGTTTGGGTTTGGGTATTTCCACATCAATTAACAAACGCTAAAAAAAGCACGCATTTACACACAGCCATGATATCATTTTTTTCGGTAATAAAGCAGAACAAAACGAAATGTGCATCCAGAATGACAAGGGTATTACGAAATCCAGAAAAACAGCACGCCCATGGAAACTGTAATAAACTATATACCTAGTGTCTTGCTACACAAACAAGAGGCCCAGAGGACCTTTATCACTCACCTTGATATCTAAGCAATCATGGCAAACTATCAGACGGTAGAACCCATGGCTGATCCTTGTAGCATATCTGTATTCGACTGGTCAAGGGGTGGGGATATCAACTGTTTCCAAGATGGGACTAGAATTAGTCTTACCTGTAATTATTTCTAATTAATGGCATGAAAGTTACCAGACAACTCGGGGAGTTATCTTACTTTACCCATGCTTAAACCAATCAGAGTGATTAACCCTTGGAATTTCGTACATTTTCTTTTGCAGTGTGACAAATATTATGTACCCAATTATATTGTTTGCTATTGTTAAACCAGTTTTTGTAACATGCACTTCCAAAATTAATATGTAACAAATGCTTTCTTGTTTAATGAAATACTTAGAATTATGGCAATTAAATGAAGAATATTAAATAATTCATTAAAAAACAACCACAACACATGGAATTATTGATTGCACATCTTTTTGACATTGTATTTCCAAATTTCAAAGATTACATTCTTTGTTGTTCCGGGAACAATCTGTCAATTTGAAAACAATAGTTGGATACCATGTACATCATACAGAACTAAAGGCATCCTTGATATTGATCACAGTGGTCAACAACTGTACAAGACCAATGGTCATCACACCACTGGACATTGATCACAGGGGTCAGCAAGTACCTGTACAAGACCAATGGTCATCACACCACTGGACAGAGTGTCACTCTCACTGGACAGTGACCAGCATGTCTTGTGTTGGCACAATATGTTTGTACACAATTTGTCACTAAGTTCCGCTATGTGTACTGCAAACTCTGCATTCGTCTAGTTGTATGTTCCTTGCACACCTCTTTGTATGCGAGCCACGTCACTTTCAATAAATAAATCTATAGCAACATATTGGCATACCAATCATGCTTTAAAAATCTCATCTCCATCTTGCTTCCTGTCTTGATAGCGTCTTCTGTTTGAAACATCCAAGATTAATCTCCCTTCAAAGCAGATCTGTTTTTTGAATTATATTCTATTTCTGACACGGGAACTTTAAAGCATTCAATGAAATTTGTGATAAAAAAAATAATTTACAACTTCCCTTCTTCTTTTTGGTACTTTCATATTTGATCAATTAGTAGCTATGTACAACAATGTTAGATCACCTATGAAGAGTGTACAATGTATGTGTTTTGAACTGATCATGATAAAATCAATTCTTACAGGTCAAATACTGTTGTGTGGTACTGCAATCTTTACCATTACATTTGAAAGACCACAGCCCTGAAGTAGTTTCTGAACTGTTTCTATTGATCTGACATTTCTGTTTTCTCTGTAGTCCCGATTACGCCATAAACACCACAAAGAATATAAAGAATACGACGACCACACCGAAGATTTTTATCATCAACCACCGATTAGAAGTCACTGACTGGAAATATTTCAGAATTTCACTGTGTGCTCCCTCCACGTTCATTTGCGTTTCCTCCACATTTGAATCAATTCTGGAATAAAAAGAATGCCAAGAAATTATGATGAACTGTGCCATGTTGTACACAGGCTTACTTTAAACATGAAGTTTGTAATGTTTTGAAAACAAAATCAGTTGAAATATTTTACAGATCCTAAAGTAATTCTCAACAGTGAAAAAAAGATTTACCTTCGTACTGTTTCTTCTTGCTCTTTTACCATGTGTGCGAATTGTTGAAATATAGATCCCAATTCCACAATTGTCGACTCAATATTTTGCATCGTTTCCGCTCGACTTTGTATATAATTATCCTGTAAACAAAGCAAACCACAACCGTAAGATACATCCCTCTTTTTTGAACAAAATATTAGAAAGTTACTGCACTTGTGAAATTATAAAATTAGGGGTAACAACTTTTAAATGAGGTGAGACCTTGACCATTATCATTTTGGTTCTAAAAGCACAAGCAAAGCACATATTTCATAGAGAAGAGTATTTTTTTGTATGATTCACATTTGGCAGAAACTTGTCACTAATTGGTATTTTAATCGTACCTGCTCTTCAATGATCTGCATTTGCTGGTGATATTTAGACTTTTCCACTGTCTGTCCGTCCATGTTGAGAACGAAATCTCCACCCTGGGCTAACCCATTCATGTGGTTAGCCTCGTCTTGAAGCAGGACTGACTGACCTATAACCCAATCAAGTCAGTTATAAAACAACACAAAACTACATATGGAATATATGGCATATATATATATCATATACACTAAAATCATATAATATCTAGTGGAAGTTTGGTATTACAGAATGTACAAAGATATTTGGTAGTAAATGAAGAAGATGGATAAAGCAATGTTTAAGAGGTTTTGGAATATATGGAGAGTTACACACTGGGCAAATGTTTTTGAAGGTTTTTCAGGTAAATGATATTTAAGACAAACAAGAAAATTCGTGGAATTTATATCCTCCGCTTGCAGGACATATTGTAGGTTAACATTATTGAGGTTAGGTTTAAACATGTGAGTATCGTGCTGTTGAGACATAATGTTTAGCTTGAAACTTGAAGAAAAGAAAAAAAGCCTTATACCTCATTGATTATCCGTAAATATGCACAAATCACATCAGTTGGCAAACTTAGCAGGAGTTGGATGTGCATAAGGTATTTGGTTGAAACATGTTAACAATATCTACAGCAATTATCACACGAAAACCAAGGAGTGCCCCAGATGGTAGGAAAGACAGAGGAACACAAACATTGTTATCTAGTTTGAAGGAATTTGGCTTATATTTGCTAGAGTTATAAAGTGGAAACTGCAGATAATGACGTTTTTCCTTAATCAAGAGGCCATAACTCTGCCAATTGGAGTCCGTTAAAAGTGGTTGTCAAACTTAGCCAAGCCCTTAATGTGTTGAACCCTGTTACTAAGTTTGAAGACAATCGGATAATATTGGCGAGAGTTAATGAACAGAAACGACAGTTAATGACGTTTTTTGTTATTCAAGGGGACATCCTACTTGGCTGAGACCTTAAGGCATTTAACCCTGTGACCAAGTTTGAAGAAAATCGGTTAACATTTGTTGTAGTTATTGCACAGAAACGAAACCCAGCAGATAATTACTTTTTTTCGTTATTCAAGGGGCAATAACTTCGCCAAATGGGGTCTGCTGAAAGTCGTCATCGAACTTGGCTGAGCTTAATTTAATATAACCTGTTTCGGTGAAAGCAGGGGATAATACAAACACATAGATAGAAATGTTAAGTACAGGGAAGAAAATGATTCTTGGAACTAGAGGAAATTTTAAAATACTTGGACTGTCTTGCAAAATGTTATCCAGAGCAAAACAGATATCTTAAATTACCAATGACAACAGAAACGTTGCTTTCTGCAAACTATAGAGGCCCAACCATATTCTGTTCCAAGTCAAGGTGATATCGAAAACGAAAGTAAAAGAACTCTATTCTTAGCTACAAGTGGACTGTCTGTGCGTATCATTACGCGGTGCGACTATGTCTCAATAAAGTGTGATTGCATTACTTTTTTTTATCACCATGTGCATCAAATAAATAAGTTACGGTATAGCGAACCAAAAACTATCGATTTGATGTGTACGTCAAGTAGAAAAAGAAAAATAATTGCAGTAGCAAGGATCTAGGTTTTCAGCGGTCTCATAAAAGAAAAAGTACTGATGGCTCCCTGAAAAATCCTTAATTTATTAAAAATGTCCAACAGATTTTCCATCCAGAAAACAGGTTTTAATGGAAAGTATGAAAAATGTCCAACAGATTTTTTACTTGTGTTGTTGTCTATTTGTGGATTAAAGTTGAAAATGTTCAGCAACGTAATGCTTAAAAAGTAGTTCCCTCATCCAACACTAAATGAGTCTCGAAAACTCGACTCTAAAAACTAATTCCTACTGAGTGTACAGCACAAACAGAATATAACAAAATAAACATCACTTCTTTTAATACAAGGGAGACAATCCACATGTTTAACTTACTTCGGTCACCAAACCCTGATGATGCCACTGGTGTGGCTCCAACAGATTGTGAGAACTGTTCTCGTCTTGACCTCTGATGTTTCAGGTTCTGTAAATGAAAAGTTAACCTTGTAAAATCAGACTAAACTTTGTAACTAGATAAAAGGTTTAATATATGTACTGAGAACTCTTCATAATAATTGTTAGTCAATAAATATATTTTGCTTTCTTCATTTTTCTTATTATAGTTAGGATTAAATAAAATATTTTGGTAACCTATGTCAAGATTTTTATTTAATAAATTGTCTCTGATATCAAACAGTCAGGTAAAATCATCTACAACGTCATTAGTTCTATGAAATTATGGTAAACATTGCATCGCAGTACAATACATGTAGATCAACAAGATGGATAGATGCAACATGAAAGCTCCAATGAGTCTAGAGGATGAGAAAGGACATGGACTGGTGAGATTTTTATACTCTTCGACAATGGTTTGCTTTTTCTGTGTGAGTTGAACATTTTCAGTTATCTACATATATTCAGTTACAACTAGAAACTAATGTTATCCAAACAGATCACAGACAATATTCATGACAATACGTACCTCTGTTCGTACATCTAGTACCTGTTTGAAGTCAGTAGACATTGAAGCCAGTTTGGACTGAAAAGGAAGACAAGAAATATTGACATCATGTGTCTTGGTAATAAAACTCTTGTAAAAGTAACATACCAAGGTTAAAATTCTACTTTACTAAAATTAATACAAGTTATTAATTATTTACCAATCATAAGCTGAACGCAGTACCAACACAGTTGTAAACAGGATTAAACATTACTTAATTACAACTACAAGTTTAAGTGAAGAAAGACGTCATTCAAGACTGATAATTCACAAGAACCAAACTACACATCTTAGCAATCTTTTACACAATGATAGCCAGAACAAACAACATATATCCAGATGGCAGGGGCTGATTGTGATTTAAATCCATTTATATGAGTTAATTCTCAACACAAATGAAAATGAGACAATGTGACATCAAGACACACACTTATAGATTATTTCAGCTAGAAATATTCCCTACCGGCTAACTAATACCCCAGCTTCCACATGATCAGAGAATGGACACATATCCAATAGAAAGAGTCAAAATCACAAGTAGGCACCACCATACAACTACCCAAATAAGTGAAGTAAATTTCATAAATTATCAGTCAGAAAGGTATTGTTGCTCCAGACAAAATTTACAAAGAGTTATAACAAAAGGGGCATAACTCCCAACAAAATCTTCAAAATCTAAAACTAAAATACATTACAAAGTTACTAATAAAGGTGTTTCAAGTTTCATGGAGAAAATGAGCTATGGTGTGACAAAGACATCTGCCCCTTAATATATGGACACCCTTATTCCCATATACCCCCCACACACACACCTAACTTTGTTGGAGATGGGCTACAATAATTCAAGAAAGCTGAATACCAATAATAACACATTTTTGCTTTTTTTTTGATGAGACTAAAAACCCCATTTTACAAAAACCTCAGTCATTGCTGATGACCTACCTGTAGTGACACTACCACAGTGTTGGAATGACTTTGTAAATGGCGGCCGTTCTGTGAGCTCTGTGATTTGACCAGACCCATGAGCATGGCAATCTGTTTGTTTAAACTGGTGATGTCCTGTTTAATGATGTACGTCAACTCCTGTATCTCAATAGGCTTGTCGTCAAATAATGACTTTCTCTTTGCCACTAAAACAGAAAATGAAATATTTGCAATCAATAAAAAAAAGTATATATTTCGAAAACGAATTCCATTAAAACCTATGAAAGGACTCCTTAGGCGAGATCAAAGCTTTTGTAGTGGCAGTTCTGCTTTCTGCAACAATTTCTTTAATGTTTAGTATTAAAACTAAACTTTATCAGAGAAACTAGATATAGGTAACTTCCATTTGGGCAAGATTTCACATTCATGAATCAGACATTTGATTATTAGTTATCAAATGTAGAATTCTTACTCTATCAAGCACCAGGTTTTAAACATTCCAAATGATTTCTTCACTTTAATTCTCATTACATATATATCCTATGTTTTTACTCAAGGTGAAAAAATGGACACTTACAAATTGTGAGTTTTTCAAGTTTTGAAAATGTATTGGACAAGTCTCTTCCCACACCTCTGAAAATAGATATCAGCAAAATCAGTAACATGGATAAAACAAAATGTATCATAATAGGATTTCAAGGATAATATTACAGGAAAATGACTCTTTTTATCAGAATATGACTTATAAAAGAAACTTACTTGGCCTTTTGTGTGAATTCACTTCTCTGCCTGAGAGCGTGGTTTTGTTTCTGATGATTGACTCCATTTCCCTGCGAATGTCAAAGGCAAATTAATCAAACAAATGGCTATAGCTATGGTGTGCATTAATATTATGTTATGTGCAAAGAAATTGTGTGTTACACTTATTGTAGCGCACATGCACTAACATGTTATGTGTATGCTTGTAATACAGCATGCAGTTTGAGTACTAATTCAACAGAAAAAGAAACACTTGTTTTGTCTAACACTGGGCCTCATCAAGATCTAGACCTGTCTGTCTTTTAAATTTGAAGCCAAAACACTGATGGTCAAAAATGTAAACAACATTCCTATCCTAGCAGAAATCTGTCTAAAAGTATTTCCTGTAATGTCTTATTCATGTAAATTAAATAGTAAATGACAAAGATTGCAATTATTTTTTCATTATCATGCATTAAATAATCCAGTGTATCCACGAGTAAATGTTCTGTATTCATATCATACTGCCAGGTTAAAATACTGTATTCATATCATACTGCCAGGTTGAAATACTGTATTTATATTATAGTGCCTGGTTAAAATATTGTATTTATACCATACTGCCAGGTTAAAATCCTGTATTCATATCATACTGCCAGGTTCAAATACTGTATTCGTATCATACTGCCAGGTTCAAATACTGTATTCGTATCATACTGCCAGGTTCAAATACTGTATTCGTATCATACTGCCAGGTTCAAATACTGTATTCGTATCATACTGCCAGGTTGAAATACTGTATTTATATTATAGTGCCTGGTTAAAATATTGTATTTATATCATACTACCAGGTTAAAATACTGTATTTATCTCATACTGCCAGGTTAAAATACTGTATTTATATTATAGTGCCAGGTTAAAATATTGTATTTATATCATACTGCCAGGTTAAAATACTCTATTTATATCATACTGCCAGGTTAAAATACTGTATTTATATTATAGTGCCAGGTTACAATACTTTAGAATACTGTATTTATATCATACTGCCAGGTTAACATACTGTATTACTACCATACTGCCAGGTTAAAATACTTTAAAACACTGTATTTATATCATACTGCCAGGTTAAAATACTGTAGTACATTGTATACTGTATTCATATCATACTGCCAGGTTAAAATACTATATTTATATCATACTGCCAGGTTGAAATACTGTATTTATATTATAGTGCCAGGTTAAAATACTTTAGAATACTGTATTTATATCATACTGCCAGGTTAAAATACTGTATTATACCATATTGCCAGGTTAAAATACTTTAAAACACTGTATTTATATCATACTGCCAGGTTAAAATACTTAAGTACATTGTATACTGTATTAATATCATACTGCCAGGTTAAAATACTTTTCACATTATTCATACCACAAGTAATTGCAACGTCAATTTTAAAACAAACTTTTTCTTACTTCGGCCAATGAGATAGATAATTAAGAAACATTTTAATGTTGACCCCTATCCTAATTGATAAACACCATTTAGCTAGATAATCATATGTGTACCCGGTATATCTCCACTTATCAGCCAATATGCTTTGCACTTATTTGACCTTTACCAAGAGGTGAAATATCCCAGTGACCTACAGTATATACACCTATTAGGCACTGCAGACCGTTTGTGAGTTATGCAGCTATTGTTCAAGGTTCATGAAATTATCTTCAATTGTTGAAAACTTATAACCAAGACGATATTTGACTTAAAATTTCGCACTTATTTAACCTTTGAGCTTGAGTTAATGATTGTATATAGTGCACTTCTCCTTGGGGTGATGCATGTATACTTAAGGATTTCAATTAAGATATATTTAACAGTTTAACCAGTCAAGAAATTGGTGGAAACTTTACGTTTAATTGACTCGTGATCTTGAGGTCAAAATCACAGTGACTTCATTTCAGTACTTAACTAAGTCTCTTTTCATTGGATGGGGAAACACAATTACACAGATGTCCGCCCGCCCGACTCATTGACATTCAACTGGTTACTAGTCAGCTGTAACTAATGTCAGTGGGTCATAGATGGAATTAGACCTCTCACACATAGACAAAAACTTGAAACATGCACCAAAATTTCCAAATTCAAGAGCATACAAAATTGTTGTTCGTCCAATTTTAACTTATTTCTTCCAATTTTCTCCATAATAACCTTACAAAGTTCACTATACCTGTCGTGATTGCAGGAGTTTGACTGCGGACATAAACTCCGAGGATCGGTCTCGACATGACATTTCTGCGTCTAGATGTGCTGCTGGGGCCGATGACTGGCTCCCGCTTACAAAAGTGGTCCCACTGCGCTGGTTTGTGTGATTTTGTTCCTGCTGATTTTCAGATCCAGAGTTAACTCTCCTACGTCTAGCGATCATTTGGAATCTATCACCTTACATCACCTCAAAATTAATATATCTGCAAAAAGAAGGGAAAATATTGTACATACATGTACATCACATATAAAATAATTAAACCACATTTTACTAATCTTCTTTTCTCTTCAAACATTTGATACAATTAATTTAGACAACATTGCAAACGCTTCACCATCTTTTTAACTCGGGCATTCAAATTCATATTTGGTTTAAATAAAAATAAAGTACTGGTGACACATAAGTCAAAGGATGAACATAATCTGTTGTTTCTACACAATAAACTATATACAGCAACTGTGATTAGCACAGTTATAAATTTAGTGTAATATTTCAAGCACAAAAGGGTTAACAAATGGTTCTAGATTAGTGAATAACTTATTAATGATGGCAGTATGACACACTGAGGCCAGCATTTGAGTTACTTGATTAATTATTTAGGAGAGATAAAGTAACAGTAATTTTTCCCTCATTAATATATGCAGTACCTATCATGTAAAATCAGTTCTCTGCTTGTTCTTTTATTAGACATGTTTTCAAAACAAATGCGGTAAAGAAACATGGATCATTACATGTATTCAACAAATTACGGTAAAGAAACATGATCATTACATGTATTCAACAAATTACGGTAAAGAAACATGATCATTATATGTATTCAAAATGTCTATCCTGACCTGAATAACAATTGCAGCATGATAGTATTTACTGTATCAAGCTAATAACTAGTTACATGTTGTTTCTATAATGGTTACATTCACTATGCCTAGGAAAACAAACAAAATATAGGGGAATTAATGTCTTGGTATTCTAGTTGTCATTTTGTAATTACCAATTTCGGTATGTTACAAAAGTTATTTCAGTATTTCTAAACATTTGTTTGCACTTGGATTAACATTTGAATCTGGCACATTGTTTATATAATTTAATGTATTTTGTCTCCTCAAAAAAAACCAGTCACTAAATAGTTGATATGTGATTTGTTTAGCAAATTAGAATTTCAACCTGTTCAATCAATTTTGGCTTGAGCACCAGATATTTATGACAGTTCTCAGCCTAAAACATGTATGGAAAATGTGACAATGCAGACTAATTATATCATAATGACTAAAAATGAGTCACATAAGGAAACTTCATGTATCATTTGTAAGTCAAGCATCATGACAATAGTTTTATCCTCAGTGTGGAACTGCATATGAGATTTTGTAGCTGTGTCAAAATGTTTTAGACAAAATAGTAGTATGCGTATTGTTTTAATTTAGATTTAATTATGTAACAGGCATAAAAACAGAAACAAAAAATAAACGTGTGATCGATGACACTGTGACACCTTTATGAAGTCTGATAAATGGTCGAACAAGTCACGATTTTCACTGTATTTTGGTCTGACAGCAGGTTGAGTCGACACGCCTTGGATAGTCGGTTTCGTTTCCAAATCAAGATTCAAGATATTTACCTGGTTTGACTTAATGTCCTTATGTATGTTATGGTAAATACACTAAAATATTAAGAAATAGTTGACTTCCCAATTCTCATCTGTCTAATAAAGTCACTAAACAACACCGCAAATACACAAGTACCTCCACGAAGCAAACAACGTAATTTCCTGTAATTCCACGCATGCGCAACTTATGTTTCGGAATTATTTGTAGCTTTCCATCTCGTTCTATACAACAAGAAAAATGTTCCGAAAGAACGTAGTGGATTGTGGGTATTTCCTGTAAAATCGGCATTTGGTCGGTAGGCCGTGAAGTGTGAACATCGAAGGAACAAGTGATGGAATTTTAGGAAATTGAAAACAAGCACAAAGCATCGGCAAGGGGTCCCGAAACAGCAAAATGCCTCCGATGTTATCAGAACAAGTTGTTACACCCAATGGTTTGTTGCTTGGTATATTTTTTTATTGATTTGTAAAAATTTATCTTTCACGTGCATGTAAACAAGTCACAAAACATCATTATGGTCTGGCCTTCCACGCTTTTGAAAATAATTTTGTGAAATTCAATGAACTCGTCATACTGAAATAAAAATAGAAAAATTATGGAAGTCATCCTTGTTAAATAGAAGGAAAAACAAACAAAATATCGTGTGTTCTGAATCTCTAAGGTTTTTTTTATACTGAAACTATAGATCTATTTTTAGAACTTTCTACTTTCTGTTTTCACGATGTAACAACTGATGCTTAGAGGGCTCTGTTTTTCTATGGCAAGTCACTATGAATGTTATGAAATAAATATGTTTGTTAGTGTTAAAGAGGTAAGTAGTTTTCAATTGGAATTATTATTAAAATCAACCTTTATTTAAGATTAAATTAAAGGTACCATAAAATGATAAAATTAAATTAAAGGTACCATGCTGCTAACCTTCGCTAATCTTTCTGACAATCAGGAAAAAACTGGCATTTCTAATTTTTCTTACATAGCAAAGTTATTAACTTTCTGATATTATACCATGCACACTCAGGATGTGAATTTAAATGTGTAAAAGATATAAAAAAAAAAAAAAATTTTTTTTTTTTTTTAATAATGTCACGCATGCCTTAATAGGCCCCTTTAAATGAAGAAATATCTTCTCCTTTTACTACTTTTTAATACTACTTTATAAGTGAATTGTAAAGTTGTTCAGCATACCAAGTAATGTAATATTTTTTTATCAATTAAGATGATTGCACATTTATAATGTCAACATTACCTCTGACCCAGTTGAACACGGTCGTCATTCATTGGATTATGCTCTTAATACATCTTGTCCATTCGCTTATGCATGATAATAATGTAAACATGGCTTCAACCCTGTACCTGGTGAGATAAGTAACAGACAGGAATAGCTAGGATTCATATGCTTATACTTGACATAAATATACATCATTTGAATTTAAAATCTTTTCATACTAATATAACCTTAAAATATTTATGTGATTTTATGACTTCAATTGTAACAGCAGGTTTCCGGACAGATTGCGGCATAGTAACTTTAATAATAATTAATTAACTCTTCAATGAATAATGCTCATATAAACTTTCATTTTTCAGTTTCATTGGATGAACAACTGAGACAGACAATGAGGGAAAGAATCATGATATTTGATGGTGGGATGGGAACCATGATTCAGCAACACCGCTTTGAAGAAGAAGATTTCCGAGGTTCAGAGTTCAAAGACCACCCAAAAAGTTTGAAAGGAAACAATGACATCCTGTGTCTTACAAAACCAGATATAATTTACCAGATCCATAAAGTGAGATATTACAACATACATGTTTCATAAGTTTGTTTTGAAAATGTTTGCAAACCAGTAGATATTTTATAGTGCATTTATTGTAAGTCAGTTATTTTTTTTTTAATTTTTATTTCAATTTGAAAGGAGAGGTGATCATAATTCAGAACCCCACAGACAGGTCATTTTGATGCCATGAGTATTCCCGCAAACTGTTTATCTGTTACATATGTATGAACACAAGGCCATGAACTTCTGAAGCGAAAAATACTGATCAATGCTACCTATTAGATTTATAGCTTATACAGGTGTAATAAAAAAAGGTGAAATATTTCAGTAATATTCAACATTTGTTTTGTTTGTTTGAGTGTTTTACGTCCGTTTCACTACCGAGTAGTTTGGTTATCCAGCTGATGAAGAAAAGATATGAAAATTAGCAGGAGGGATAAAGTATGAAGTGAAGGAAACATTTGTTTATTTATAGGATTATTTAGAGGCAGGGGCCGATTTTGTGGAGACCAACACATTCAGCGGCACAAGGATTGCCCAGGCAGACTACGGCACAGAGGATCTGGTCAGTATGTTACCTGTTTACAGTGACAGTTCTTTGTAACCTATGTTAGTTAATACATCTAGATCCTAGATGCATTTTGTTTTACAATTGTCAGAACCATCATTTTAATATACAGATTGTACTTCATTGCACGTCTCAGACTATAAGCATGTTTTCTAGTTTATTTAGAAAAGTACTTTAAACATTAATATATGTGTTTTAGATAGTAACAAAACAATGGTGGTTTTTTTTGTAGGAAATCGTAGTCTTATTAGTTATATTTGTGAAGTTGATTTGAAGTATAATTGAAGTATTTGGATTTATTTGCAGACATTTCGCCTCAACTTTGAAGCAGCCAAGATTGCCAAAAGGGCATGTGGAGATGTTGCTAATAATACAGGTAAACATTTGAATTGTTGAATAGAGATATTGATTTCAATATTGAATTATCATTCCATAATCAAAATTGACAATTTGTACAAATAAAAATTGAATGGCATTGTCACCAATGTTCATTCTGACATAAATGCAAGTTTGTTACATTCCATTGGTCTTCATGGTAAATGATCATGTAAATGCCATGCATTCACACTGGCTGACAGACATATATATAAACAATAATAAAATGTGGTTCAATACATATACTGACATTGTAATAATACTTAGTATTCCCTGACATTTCTGATATTGAAGTATCTGTATCAATGCATTACAAACAGTAATCCTGGAACTGTCGAAATGATTGCTTCTTATGAAGGTTTCTTGGTCAGAAATGTGAAATATGCGGTAATATCCACAATATTTATATTCAGAAATTTAAGATATTCACTTTGAGATTAGAAATATTTAAACCTTTCATAGCTATTAATAAATTGAATCTGATTGGATAAAACTTAATAAACTGATCATCTGACCTGTCCAGGTGTGGCCAGGTATGTGGCTGGAGCCATGGGACCAACAAACCGGACATTGTCTATATCTCCCTCCGTGGAAAGGCCGGAGTTCCGTAACGTCAGTATGTACCATTACTTATTTTTTGACCCAAACACAAGTATTTGGTTGTCATTAGTGGTTTAATGACGTCCTGCACCAGTCAGCAGTGAGGTATAGAGCATCATATGTTTTAACCAATGTGTGCTGGTAAGCGCTGGTTTGACTCTCGGCATATGGAGTGTTTTGAATCAACATGCACCTTGTGTCTAAACAGTCTTAAAAAAAAACTTGATCAAAAAGATAAAAACCAGTAAGAGAGTTACTGTGGTTTAAATGGTTTAATAATTGAAATTTTATGTATCAAATGTATAGCATAATAATGTGGGAGATATTTCACCACACATTGGCCTTTTTTTTAATTCCTGTTTTTTCCTTTTTGCATTTGTATAACACAAAAAAAAACACTACAATAATAGAATTGCAATAAATGCACTTTTAAATTAAAGCCTCAAAGCATTTAAAAATTGTTACATTAAAAAATTAATACTTAACATTTTTTTGTGTTCTCTGTTTTTATTTGATTTTTACTGAGAATATTTCACCAATAATGAATCCATACTCTTAAATACGCCAACTAGCTCATTCACATATTAACATCATGTTTAACAGTTAATGGTTTTTCGTTATATATGAAGATTCCCTTCTTGCATCTTATGGTAATTTTTTATTGAATATTTTACAGCTTTTGATGAGCTAGTTTCAGCCTACACAGAACAGGCCCGTGGTTTGTTGGAAGGAGGAGCTGATGTTTTGCTGGTGGAAACAATATTTGACACAGCTAATTCTAAGGTGCTCATTTGATAACTCATTCACCCCTGATTACAGATTTGAACTCTTCCAGTTCAAAGGATGGAATAGTTCATTATGAAATTTCAGGGGTGAATGAGTAAATAGTAGTATGTATATACCACTTATATTTGTCAGAGAGAGGATCTATTAATAATTTGCATAAATTTTCTTTATTCAAAAGTTATCAATTAAAACATGGTTTAAAATATGTTTTTTAAAACCAGAAATATTTTGCTAATCACATATTCAAATCGTTCCAGAGCCAATTGTGTGGGGAAAAGCTAATTGGAAAATAAGAAAGATATGCAGTTTGCAGTATATTTTGTAATTGAAATTCTGATTCGAACTGATGTTTAATGTAATAATGATTTTGGATGAGTTGTACATCTCCTTGTGAAATTCATTTTCAGGCAGCATTATTTGCTATTGAAGAATTGTTTGAAAAAGAGAATAGAAGTTGTCCAATTTTTGTAAGTATGTCATCAAAATGTAGAACCTCTCTTTATTTGTATGCTGTGGAATCGTGATAGAGAACAATGTGACTTGAAAGATGTATTATTTGATGTCGACGTAACAAGCATTTCAATCAGTGTCACCAAGCTAAAGTTATAACCTGCTTTACTGTTTTAAAAGTAAGACTATTTTAATGAACTGTAAAAGTTATGAAAGGTAATTTGAATGAGGTTTTTATCACGACAGCAAATAACAGTACTTAGCGTAGCTGTACACAATATAGTAATTACTTGTGAAAGGCAAAATTAACACCAGACTTAGGTTAATTTTACAGGTAAAGTGGGAACAAACAGTACATCAAGATTTTCCCTGTGGCCCTCTTTACTTTTATTTCATACCCTATCACCAGTATATATACATGCATCAATGATAAGGACCTCCCTGTCAGTCTCCTCTTCCGTTGGTTTATACCTGGAATAGCCCTTACTGGCCGGATCTATAGGACTATTGCAGGCCTTTAATCCAGTCATGCAATCTACAGAAGGTTCTGCATTTTGGGGAGATTTTAAAAGGAAAATTGTATCATCAATCTTGTTGGAAGTATTTATTGTTCAAGGCCTCCACTACTTACATTATGTTCAGGTCTCGGGTACAATCGTGGACAAGAGTGGTCGTACACTGTCAGGACAGACAACAGAGGCGTTCATCATCAGTGTGTCCCAGGCCAATCCCATGTGTCTGGGCCTCAACTGTGCTCTGGGTGCCCTGGAGATGAGACCATTCATAGAGGCAGTCAGCAAAAACACAGAGGCCTATGTTATATGTTACCCAAATGCAGGTTTGTCGCTTTATGATGTTATTTCTAGTTTTCAGTTGCTTTTGTTTCCGTTATAAGGGTATTTGTTCATTACATGTACATATTTATCCATCAACATTGTTTTTTTCATAAAACTAATGAAAATAAAAGTGTTCTAATAAAATGTTTTGTATAAGTAGGGCACAACATCAGACATGTGGGTGCATTTCAGAAATCATAGCTTCTGCTTATCCGTTTGTCCTTCCTTCCACATTTTCGTTTCTGGAGATTATCTCTGAACACAAGAGACTGATCTGTTTGTTTGACATGGTAAAATGCTGTGCTATATAGACATGCAATAAAAATGAAGGTTTTTAAAAATGTATCTAAGGTCAAGGTCACTGTTACTAAAAATAGAACATGGGGTTATGGTCATGCACATGGCAGGGCCCTAATGCTGATCAGTTTGTGTTCTTGTTTTACTCTAAATTACCAAATTTGGAAACATTTCATAAGTTCAAATTCTACTGTTTAGTGTTTGAGCATATAATAATTTATTTTCAATCCAAAAATATTGGTGCTGAAAATGGAAGATGTTATGCACAAATCATACTTTTTCAGGTCTGCCTAACACATTTGGTGACTATGATGAAACTCCAGAGATGATGGCAGGTCAGCTGAAGGTAAGGAAACCATGGTAACCAGACGGGGCCAGCCAAATCGAGATGTTTTGGCCAATGTGACCTCTTATCACTCTAATACACCTTTTAAAATTCTTATTTACAAGGCCATGTGATGTAAACACAAGTTCTTTGTAGCTTAATGCTTAAATTTATTTCACTGTTGCAAACTTTTGCCTTTTCACTAGTTCTTTATCGCAGGTGAACATATCAGAAAACAAATAGTAGAACACTGTTCATGACAAATTTATCAGTGGGCTATTATGAATTCTACTGGAGAAAGGAGAATATTTGATGTGGACTAAAATTACAATGGTTTCATTATTCATTATACATTCATTTTATCTAAATAAATAAATGCTCAGATTTAAAAAGGCTAAAATTCTGTTGTAAACACACAAATGTATCCTGTATGTATTACATGTACCATGTATATTATGTTGTATGTCTAGTACTACCATTCTACCATTCAAAATCCCAGTTTATACTCCTAGAAAATTGCTAGTTTATCAGGTACTATAAATCTGAAGCAAGAAGATTTCAAAGAGTTGAAAATGTTTGTGTGAATTGTACAGTTTCTGACTGCGTTAATGTTTCTGTTACAGGAGTTTGCCAAGGATGGTCTACTGAACATAGTTGGTGGCTGCTGCGGAACTACCCCAAAACACATACAGTAAGGAGGATTAGCTAGTGCTTGATCAAAAACCTGGCTGCAGAATAACCAAGGTTGTTTACACTGTGCTGGGAAAATCTGAATTTTCAAATAACTTTTCTAATTTACAAAACATTTTTGTGTTTGAAGTATTGGCGTGCCCTTAATTGGCACAACACTATATACAGTAAACCTACCAATGTTTGTGTGGTTCAAATTTTCTGTGTTTTCCTGGTCAAAATAATAAGGCAAAAAGTGGATTCAGTGAAAATATCTGTTATTTCAGAGATGGGAAAAGAAGCTCTTCATATTACAAACACAAAAATTAATCCTGTAAGTATCTTTTTTAACAACGGTATAATTCTTCAGTAATTTCAATAGTTTAATAAGTAATGACCATGTCATTTTGTTTTCAGGGTGATTGCACAAGAAGTAGGGCAGTACAAACCCAGAGTCCCTCCTGAGGGCCTCCGGGATGAATACATGTTGCTGTCGGGTGAGTAATATAAATGTTCAACTATTAAAGGAAAATTAACTGTTGATGTGAACAATGTGTTTTTAAACTTTATCAATAGTGTGTTGTGGTCTGATCGTCTTTCTTGTTCCACAGGTCTGGAGCCAGCCTATATTGGGCCCTATACCAACTTCGTCAACATTGGAGAGAGATGCAATGTGGCAGGGTCACGCAAGTTTGCCAAGCTCATCAAAAATGGAGATTATGAAGTATGGCTGTTAAGTTAAAAAAAATCTTAGAATTTTCTTATAAAGATTTTTTTTTTATCAAATATGATAAGAACACTGTATTTGCATTTGTATTAAATACTCTAGATAAACTTGTTCAAACAGGATATTTCATGCCATCATTTGGTATAACAGTTTCATGTAATTTGTTAATGGCTTAGAATGCAAATATGATGGTGGAATGCACAATGATTTATGGATATTTAAACTCTGCAGTTTTTACTTCAACTTCTTATATAGGTGAAATAACAATTATCATGAAAAATTATCATTCCTAAATATTATTATCCATATTTTCTCAGTCCAGGCTTTTGTATCTGTGCAGGGAAGGTATGACCATCTGTAATTTCAGATGTACATTATACATTCTAGGAGGCGCTGTCTATAGCCAAGATGCAGGTAGAGAGTGGGGCCCAGATCTTGGACATCAACATGGACGAGGGTATGCTGGATGGGCCTTCTGCTATGACAAAGTTTGTCAACCTCGTTGCATCAGAACCTGACATCTCAAGGGTAAATTAGCCAGATGTTAAATCTCTTGTCTTGTAATAGAGTAACTTCTTATGGAGAAAATCTATTCAACAATCCATTTTTAATTAATTAAGAAATTACAAAAAAACAGTACCTTATCCTATAAACCTTTGTGTAATTTATGATAGTAATCATTCGTATTCATTTGTGTTTTCGAGAATAAAAATTTAAGCTATAAATGAACTTAACAGAAGTTGCCTTTCTTTCTTTAATAGCTTTGAAAAAATCAATTATTTTGTTTTTAAAATGATTGTTGTTTTTAGGTGCCTCTGTGTATAGACTCGTCCAACTTTGCTGTGGTGGAGGCTGGGCTGAAGTGTGCCCAGGGCAAGTGTATAGTCAACAGTATCAGTCTAAAGGAGGGTGAACAGGACTTCATCGATAAGGCAAAGAAGGTCAAGCGTTACGGGGCTGCCGTCGTCATCATGGCCTTTGATGAGGAGGGACAGGTACTTTCCGAGTGCAGTGTAGCCCGTCACAATCCTGATATTTTTTTCCAATTAAAAATAGCCATTATGTAATGCATTTCAAAACATTGTGACGTTCCTTTAAACCTGTATAGAATTATGATACATCAACCCGATTTCTTGTGAAATTATTGCTATAGTGTGGATATGTCTCTCATTGCATTATCTCCTGAATTCTAATACAAATTTTGAAAGCCCTATCCTTTGTCTTAACATACTACTGGAATTTGTTTTAGTGATAGCAAGTGAAATGGATAAAGGGTGATTTATGTGATCAAAGATATTGAGGTTGTAAACAACCATGTCTGAATGCATGTTAAATGTAAGTGATGATTTCACCTACCGTGGTAAACATTTGAATAGGCTAGCCTATTTACACTTCAAGTCAAACACAAGTTTCAGTCATTGTTGGTGACTGTTCATTATAAAATATTTGCGTCTTTTCCTGTCTGCTACAAGCCCAAATTTATTATCACAGCCAATATGAGTACATCTCTGTGTTAACCAGATACCCTCGAGACCACATAATTTAGCTCATTTGTAGAGAGTTCGAGTTTTTCGATTGTCTTCATTTTAAGAACCAACTTTTTGTTCAGTTTAGACGGTGTACAATCTGCAGCTTCTTGTCTTGTAGTGCTATATGCTTTCCACTGTGGAAATAAAAAGTGTCTGAAGACAGATTTTACTAGGTGAATACTTCACCCAGTGAAGGTTTTTCAGTATACAGTATTTGGTGGATGAAGACATGACAGTAATGCATATCTTCATCAGTTTTCATCTTTCTTCATTTCAGGCGACAGATAGTCAGCGGAAGTTTGAGATTTGTAAAAGGTCATATGATGTTTTAGTCGACAAGGTCAAATTCAACTGTAATGACATCATCTTTGATCCAAATATACTCACCATAGCTACGGGCATTGAGGAACACAACACCTACGGAATCGATTTCATAGAGGCCACGCGAGAAATAAAGGTAGGAGTCTGAGACTTAAGATGAATATAGAAAGAAAGAAAAAATCAATTGAAATTCCATTCACAAGTCGTGTGAATAATGTATGCATAAAGATTGAAACAATTAAATTCATATTAACCCTTTCACCACTGTAGACCATAATGGACTTGTCCAGATCAATGCATGGTAGAGTCTACTAAAGTTACATAGGGGTGAAAGGGTTAAGAGACTACACCTGGGAATGTTCAAAATTTGCTCGAAATTGGTCTCTTTGGGTGTCATGAAGGGAGATCTGTGGACCATGTAATGTAAGTTACAGATGGTCATTGAAGTCATTGGGTACCACTGGCCTCACAGACAGACATTTCAATTATCCTTCCCTATCAGAAAATGATTTAGTCACCAATGGAGCAGACACTACCAATAATTACTGGTATTAACATGAGATAAATTCTCAATGGAACAAAATGAAGAGAAAAGTCTATGCACAATGAAAAATATTAAATGGTATGAAATAATAACAAGAAATAAAAACGAATTAACATTCTCAGGTGTGAGGTATCAATGACAAAATAGACAGCAATATATATACACAGAATCGTCTTCAACACCATGTAAATCATCTACTGTTGGACATTATATTATATTGATTAATAGAGAATGACTTGTTAACTTTGATAAATGATTCTTTTACAGAAACATTTACGAGGGGCCCGTGTGAGTGGTGGGGTGTCCAACTTTTCCTTCTCTTTCCGTGGTATGGAGACAGTGAGAGAGGCTATGCACAGTGTGTTCCTGTACCACGCTATCAAGGTTTGTAGTTCTCTTCAAACATCTTCTTCTGGCTACTTCAGGTTTAATACTTTCATGTTATATTTAACTACATACAAAGTAACAGTGGTGATACATTGTGTTGAAATGTTGGTTTGTTTTTGTCACTCCTGGTGTATTCTTTCCTCTATTTCATATCATTTGAATTGGTTTCAAAATATAAACCCTCTAGAACAGGATTGACTTCAAAATTACCATGATTTTGAATATCTGATGTCTCCCTGTGTGTATGATGTACAGGAAGGTATAGACATAGAAATGGTGAATACCTAGAGTTTGTGTCTCATTTAGTATTACAATTTGTATACAGGAAGGTATAGACATAGAAATGGTGAACACCTAGAGTTTGTGTTTCATTTAGTATTACAATTTGTACACAGGAAGGTATAGACATAGAAATGGTGAATACCTAGAGTTTGTTTCTCATTTAGTATTACAATTTGTACACAGGAAGGTATAGACATAGAAATGGTGAATACCTAGAGATTGTGTTTCATTTAGTATTACAATTTGTTCACAGGAAGGTATAGACATAGAAATGGTGAATACCTAGAGTTTGTGTTTCACTTCGTATCACAATCTGTACACAGGAAGGTATGGACATGGGGATTGTGAATGCTGGGTGTCTACCTGTGTACGATGACATCAACAAGGAACTGCTGGAAATGTGTGAAAATCTTCTGTGGAACAAGGACCCCGAAGGCACCGAAAAACTACTTGTATATGCTCAGGTATTTAGGCATTTTGTTCGTATTTAATAAGTTATTTTAAAATTTCCAACAAGCCCTGGAACAAATTAAATGAAAACTGGTGATTGACATTCCTTAAAAGTTTATTCCACTGGAAATCATGTATATTATTAAATTTGCATCACAAGTGTGCTCTGAATCACATGTTCTCTTACCTGGGTATAAACTTGTACTCTACAGAGCATGAGTGCGGACGCTAAGAAGGGTGTGGTCAGTGACGAGTGGCGGTCTAATCCAGTGGAGGAGAGACTCTCCTACTCTCTCATAAAGGTAACATTTCTTCATTTCAAAATTATGTTGATATAATACTAAACTGGGAAAAAAGGAATTCATGTACTTAACTCATTCACCCCTGCAGACGCATTTGAACTCGTCCAATTCAAAGGTTGGAATAGTACATTATGAAATTTCAGGGGTGAATGAGTTAATAGTATAAGAATCAACCTTAGAGATCATTTTGTGGAATACCAGATTTGAATTTCTTGTTACCTATGCAGAATAATAAACATGATGTTGTGTGCCCAGTTCTAGCCATGTATGAATTCTAAGTCTGTTTTTGCCTGATCCTGACAGGGTATAGACAAGTTTGTAGTGGGTGATACGGAGGAGGCGAGAACAAACACAGAACTGTACCCTAGGCCACTCAACGTGATCGAGGGCCCACTCATGAAGGTATTATTGACATGGATTTGCAAAACAAAATTGTCAGAAATCTGGCCTACATCTTCTGAACAATGATAGATTTTCTTTAGAGAAAAGTAGGTTAAAGTAGGTAAGACATATAAAAGATTCAGTAAAAAAAAAGTTTTGCAGTTATGAAATTAAAATCAGAAGTAAGACGGCCTTCGTTATGTATATAGTAGATTTCTAAAGTTGAACACAATCCCACAATAGAAGAAGCAATTGAGAAGTACAAGTAGATATGTTTCAGTGTTTAAATGTGATAAGACATCATTTTAGAGTCCAAAAAGAAGAAGAAAAAATGAACAATTATTTGTGTTTCAGGGTATGAGTGTGGTGGGAGACCTGTTCGGGGCGGGGAAAATGTTCCTGCCCCAGGTCATCAAGTCTGCTCGTGTCATGAAGAAGGCGGTGGCTCACCTCATCCCATTTATGGAGAAAGAGCGACAGGCAAAACTGGCTATAACGGGAGAGATTGATAACATGGTCGGTACTCTGGAAGTGTTTATTTTTAGTTGATTTATGAGCAGAAATTTGCAAATTATCAGTCAGATTTTGCTATGTTAAAATATGTATTGATTTTTGGTCTGATAAATCAGGGTATCTACTTTTACTTTAAGGAAAATGGTAAATAAAGATGAAAAATAAATGAATGGTTTTAAAAACAAAAATTGACAGACTAGAAAACCAGACCTATGGATAGCTCCAATAAGATTCATCAATTTGGAAATATGTGATATCAAATTTTTACTTTCTACACAAACAATGTACATATTAAACATGTCGCAACGTTTGAGTCACAGCTTGACAAAGGGACCAGTTGGTCTTGAAACATTGCGACATGTTTAATACATACATTGTTTGTATTGAAAGTAAAACTTTGATATCAGACCCATGGATGAAAAATCATGTCAAATATTTATCACAATGAAAACCGAAGTAAAGATAATTGCTATCATTATTTATAGATGTACAAGCTTCTTGATAGAATGTTGAATGAGTTTTTAAAAGTTGTCATTTGTACGTATTTCTTAACATTCAGGCAGATGCCTATGTGGGGACAGTTGTCTTGGCAACAGTGAAGGGAGACGTCCATGACATCGGTAAAAACATCGTAGGTGTTGTACTCGGCTGTAACAATTACAGGTAGGTCAAGTTATCTTAGAATATTTTTTTTTTTATCCTACTTAGTTTATACAAAATGGCGTTATAATAAAATATTGTTAACTCAAAACTGATAAGTTAATTGACCGTTCTAAATCAAACAGATCCATTGGTCCCAACTTACTCTCTAAATACAAAATTACCACCAGGCCCCAAGATCATGAAACAATCCTAGACTTTAGGCTTTGCCCCATGTTTATAAACATATTTATTTAATTGTAGTTCTTATTATAATGTGAATTATTGAAACCTGAATGTGTCAAAGTATTGAAAAGGCCTAAATCATACTGTATTAATTACAATTAGTGTCCAGGGTGCTTAATACATGGGGGCACTTATTTAGATAAGAAAATGTTAGCTATGATAGAACAAGTTGTGTAGCTTTAACCATTCCTTCAGTATAACAGGAGGACATTAAGTACATTCCAGTGTGACTCGAGGTTTGTATATCATGTTTTATCAGTGTAGGAAGTCCAGCTATGATCACTGGACATCAATCTCTGCTTTAACAGTGTTAGTATACTGTACATCATTGACCGGGCCTGGTCAGGTCTGGGAGGGAGGAGGGGGTTTATATAATTTTGATTCCTTCTGAAAAAAGGGGGATTGGCACTAATGATAGTGAATATGGTAACAATAATAGTGTTTCAAATACAACTATTTATCTCGTTTGTAGGGTAATCGATCTAGGAGTGATGACACCATGTGAAAAAATCCTTGAAACTGCAATGAAAGAGAGAGCAGGTATGTGATTTTGTCCTTCAGTCCAATTTCCATAAAAACACACGAAACTGTGTCTTGATATGAAATTTAAATATTTTTGTAGACAGAAACAGTTGCAAGGAATTCAATTAAAAAAAAAAAATCTAAATTCAGTTGCTTTAAAAAATATATCTGTGTATACAAAAATGGAAAAGTGGAGCTTGGTTTATTTTGAAGTCATGTTTTTATAAATGATAGAAATGATGGACCAAAGGGTTGTAAACAACATATGAACTTCAGTTTGTCTTTATCTCATTTCTCTACATAATCTGGTCAATAATGAAAAATGGCATTCGAAGAATGAAGTAGTAAAATTTTGGGTACATTCGCATATCCTGTTGAACCGATTGAACCTGTAAAGAAAACGACAGGCACAGATCTGAACTGAGGCTAACCTCAGGAAAATTCAGCACGTGTAGATTGAGGGGTCCAGACATACATGACCGAAACTTAAATGCTGACTATTGACATTTTGCGTTATTTCATTCTAAATCAATGTCAAGCCACAAGAAGATACGTTATGTAATTCAGTGGACGCGTGATAGAAGGTCATAATATTCTTGATACATTGTATTTTATTCTCCAAAACTGTGCATTTTTAGCTCTGTTAGAGGACGGTCCAAGTGTGTTCGTTCATCGTGGAATATTTCTGCGCTACACGTACCGTTTCAACCGGGATACACGAATGTAGCCCATGTTACTTTGAACTGTTGATAATTTGAGTCATGACTTTGAATCAAAGTATTTTTTTCTATCTATCTCTTTGTACATTAATACATATCTATAAACATTACACTTTGTCAATAAATTAATGTTGTGATGTTCTTGCACAGATGTCATTGGTCTGTCGGGTCTGATCACGCCCTCCCTGGACGAGATGATATATGTAGCCAAAGAAATGGAAAGGATTGGCATGCAGCTTCCCTTGTTGATAGGTGGCGCCACCACTTCAAAGTTTGTCAACTTAGTTATTAAGATTCCAGTTACAATAAGTTTTTATTTTGGGATATTTGATTAGAACCAGTATTCAGCTTAAGACGTGTATGAAATTTATCAAAAATCACTCCCTGGTAAATTTTCTGTTGTATACATTTTTCCATGAAGACTTCACTCTTGAAAGTAACTGTAACAGATTTTTGTAATTGTTGAAAGTTTAATGAATACATGTATTTGCAAACATGTGAATTAGTGACCTCTCGTGATAAAATAAATGGACTGTATTTGATTTGCTGTGAAATTCCTAAATTTCGTGGGTTTATTAATTTCGTTGATTTTCTGGGTAATGTTCATCCACAAACTCATAGGTCCACAAAGTAATTACAAATTTGATGTAAGGCAATTCCCTGTTTGGGTGGGTACTCATAATCCGCTAATTCACGTACCCACAAAATGGTGTTTTGTCAGGATACCACGAAATGTTGGCCCTGCGATTTCACAGTAATTAATAGTATTTCAATCATGAAGAATAAGATATACGGTCCAAAACGCTACATAAAACATTTACATGTTGGAATAAATACATCATCATGTTACTTCAATTCACAGAATCAGAAAATATTTAACTGAAGTTTTAATTCTACACACAGAACCCACACAGCTGTAAAGATCGCACCTAGATACAAATCTCCAACCATCCATGTACTGGATGCTTCTAAGAGTGTTGTTGTGGTGAGTTTGTCAGGTATTTTCCAGAATTGATTCCATAGCAGTAATGATGAAACAGCCCTCACTGAATTTCATTACAACAACCTAAAATATTATTTCATTATGTGTTTTCTTACTTTCCCTATTCCAGGCTCAATTACTGGCCATCCATACATTTATCTGTGGGGAAAAAAAGAACATTTTTACAACCCTCTAAATAGCCTTTTTCTTGGAACATGGAAAGATGTAGTCAAAGTTTGTAATTATCAATTTCAATATATTGACAGTACCGTTTTTTGGTGTTCGTGAATTTAATTTATGTATGTTTTTACTAAGATTTAAAAAAAAAAAAATTAACATGATAAAAATGTCATCGACTGTCAGAAGGAGATTTGAATGTACATTGTCTCAAAAGTCATTGAAATTGTCTCTTATTTTCAAACTTTGTGAAAGTTTTAGTACATTGTGTCAATATTATACATTAGTTTACCCCTTTATATGCTTCAAGTGTTCATCACTGATGGACGGTGTGAACAAGGAGGATTATTGCGAGGAGATCAGTGAGGAATACGAGGAGATAAGGGAGGAACATTATGACTCGCTCAAGGTCAGTTAATACAGTTTGTTTATGTTTGTGCTTTTCCTCCTAATGGTATTACCCGGAGAAAACCACCAACCTGTAGCCAGTACCTGACGTCTGCCTCCCCTGTAGGCCTTGAACCAGCGACCCAGTGGCAGACGGCTAGTGATCATAGACGGTCAGACCACTCGTCTACCACAGCCCCTGGTTAATGCCAGGAAATTGTTCTGAACCGAACTTATATAATTTCTTGAAAAGAATTGATCTTAAAACCAAACGTTGGTCTGTTAACTCATTCACCCCTGAAATTTCATAATGAACTATTCCAACCTTTGAATTGGAAGAGTTCAAATGTGTCAAATGGGTGAAAGAATTAATACAGTGAAACCTGTGTAAACCAAATATACAACAAATTTGATAGAAGGACTCCATCTAAATCTGCCATTGCTTTGTTAGTGTACCGTCACACCTGTAGAACTGGAACACATTATGGGAGAAAATACACATACCCGGTAGTGGGATATAGATGAGAGTTTTGTTCAAAGGTTTCAAGAGTGTACAGGTTCTTTTCTGTAGATAGTTAAGCTGTAATTTAAAAAGTAATGTGATTGGATTTTTATGCATCATATGTATACATCAATCTCGAAATATATGAAATTATTAGAATGGAAACCCTGAGATGAATTTGTGTCTAGAACATTAACATACTTTTTGCCTGCAATGAGTAACACTGTCATTTAATACAGGTATATGAGTGATTTATGTGAGATATTGTCTATTATATAACAGGAGAGGAAGTATCTCAGTCTGGAGCAGGCCAGGGCAAAAAAGTTGGTGATCGACTGGAACGTTGAGCCTGCACCTGGTGAGTATATCTAGGTTTTATAGATGTGAACTTCAAAAGCTCAGAAATTATTATAGATGATAATAGTCATATTTAGTAAATCACTGTGAATAAGATTCAGAATAATGAGACGCTAACATTGGCTTCTCAGTATTGATTCCAGAATCTGCTTTTCAAGCAATATGTTCTTGTATTATACAGTGTATACAGGAGTAATGTTGCTTCTATGTCAAAAATGAATGTAGAAATATAGATAGTCTCTCAATTTTAGACACTAACTATATGTACATGATGTTATTTTGACTTTTCTGTCCACCTTAGTCGCCCCGTCTTTCATTGGAGTTAAAACGTTTGAGAACTATGACCTATCAAGACTCATCCCTTACATCGACTGGAAACCCTTTTTTGATGTCTGGCAGCTCCGGGGAAAATATCCAAACAGAGGTTATCCAAAAATCTTCAAGGACAAAACTGTGGGTAAGTGGTATATATGTTAAACACACTGTTTACTGGACATTAATCATGTCCGTTTGTCTGTAATGGTGTCTGTCCATGGACATAAATCATGTCTGTTTGTCTGTAATGGTGTCTGTCCATCACTGGACATTAATCATGTGTGTCTGTCTGTAATGGTATCTGTCCATGGACATAAATCATGTCTGTTTGTCTGTAATGGTGTCTGTCCATCACTGGACATTAATCATGTCTGTCTGTCTGTAATGGTATTTGTCCATCACTTTTCAGTGTCATCAATCTACGGCATTCATGTTTCAGTTTATTATGAAAAAAATATTTCTGTCAGTATTCAGACCACCGCTTCATTGATCCAAGGTATAGGTCACTGTTCACTGTTACTGGACCCAAATCGGACATGTTTAATGAACACATATTATTCATGTCTCAAACATTGTCTAACGTTAGATGTTTACTGGTCTTCAGTCTATAGTGGGCCAAGGCTAAAAGATTAGAAGGAGAAAAAAAACAGGAAAAAAACATGCATTGAGAAATTGTGTTTAATCCTTTAAAACTGAGGATTTTTTCACAAACAATACATTGTCTTGCCTCTCATCAAAACTGGTATTGGGATCATTTTCCTATAAAGTATAAATGGATTGTGACCAGATTGGTGTATATGTTTGAAGATCAGCTTCATTACAGGTAAAAGTACACCTCTCCTTTTTGATTTACAAATTTATGAACTTACCTAATAAGATGATCATTCAAATATTGTTCCTCGTTTAGCAGATGTGATGTTGTACATTTACTGTAGGAGGGGAAGCTAAGAAGGTATACAATGAGGCCCAGGCCATGCTGAAGAAGATCTCGGTAAACAGAAGTCTGAAGGCTCATGGAGTGGTGGCGTTCTACCCGGCCAACAGCATCGGTGATGATATTGAGGTGTACAACGAAAACGGAGATGTCATTGGGGTACTGCGTGGCTTACGACAGCAGGTGAGTAACCAAGGCAACCGAGGTAAACAAACCAAAATATATACATGTATACAGCCACATAGCTTCCTATACCCTGGTACGCAAGGGAATCCACCAAATGTTTGAACAGAAAAACAAAACAAAAGCAATGCTTGTTATACCCCCAAGTCCCCCTACCCAGTGTTATACGCCCTAGTCCCCCTACCAAGTGTTATACCCCCTAGTCCCCCTACCAAGTGTTATACCCCCTAGTCCCCCTACCAAGTGTTATACCCCCTAGTCCCCCTACC